TTTTTTTAACTTTAAATACTTGTACTATGTAACCCCATCAACTGAGTATGAAAACTCACTCCCGCTATGAAAAAACAATGCTATATTTGCTCCAATTGATTTTTGTGTATCTATGTTTATTCCACTTGATAAAAATGTGAAATGGACTTTTTCAGTCTACAAAAGTTTTCATATAATGCTCATCAACAAATTCATCATTAATAAGATGGCATAAATCCTGAGTGGACTGGCAAATGTGCAATTTATTGTTTTGTTGTTGATTCATGTGTTGATTGGCTTCAGCAGAGAAAGTAGGGAAGAATAGGGATGAAAGGGTATAGGGTAGAAGAAAATGTAGAGACAACCAATCAATCTGGATTCAAATGCTTGCTATTCATATTTTCAGAAGAAAACAGAGGACTTCCATTACTATGTGGCCCAGACGGACAGGTGATCATTACAAGACTATAACATAAGTCCTGTTGTGTCCACTCTTACAAAATGAGATTTAAAATTATAAAAACTAGCCTAGAGTGAAGCATGAATAGTGAGCATTTTGAATCCAGATCGATTGGTTGTCTCTACATCCCCAAGAATAGGGAAAGGGCCAAAGGATTACGGGGAAAGAATCTTACAAGAATTAGGGACTCAACTCCACAGAATAGAAAATGCTTATTTAATAACAGCACCACCAGCAGAAAATCCAAATATGCAGAGAGGGCAATTATCACAAAGCTGGTGCTTTCTATAACAATATACTGACTAATGGTTCATGCTATTCCCTAAATATAAAAGTCACAGTTGAGTATGTTGTAGAATTTGTATCTTATATTATTAGCAAGTAGAAGGAAATAATGAATAAATTGGGCACTTGTGTTCAGAAAGTAAATGCCATGTAAATGAATTGTGTGTAGCCTGAAAGAGCCATTCATGTCTGAAGTTAGGCAGATCAGTAGGAAGACGTTCTAGGAGGGGAGGGGACTCCATCTCTTGAGGGAAGAAGGGTAAAAGTTGGTATCTACAAAGTCAAGGGAGAGGGTCGAGAGGAAGCTCCCTTTAGGGAGCAAAGATCTGAGAAATTTCAATTGCTTCCACACTCTAAGAAATTCTACTACCCCCACAAAATTCCATCTACTCCCAGACCTTCCAGCCAATGTGGAAAGTGGCAAAGGGGCTGCCTTTGAGGATAGAAACCACAGGAAGAGGGCCAGCCCCACTACCTATGGGAAATACATGACCTACAATCTGTTTACTGATCAGTAAAACAGAAGGAACAATAGTACTTACTTCACAGTGTTACTGCAAGGGAAGTTCACGCTGGTTTACTAAAACCTGAGATAATACTAATAAGACTCTTTCCCATTTCACCACCATCTGTTAGCTGTAGAGACTCATCCCTTCTCTCAATTTATAAACTCCCAGGGAAGGTACTTTAAAATAAGTTTTATCCCTCTCAACCCCTAGCAAAGGGCCTTAAACAGAGTAGAAGCATATTAAATACTTGAGATATTGTATTAAAATTGGAGAAGCTTTTGGCAGAAAATCTGACCAAAGCCCCCTGCATTAGAATGAGGTGATTATGTTTCATGAAAGATCAAAATGGGTTATTGTCATCCGAGGTGCCAATGACCTTGGATCTCCTTTCTTTTTAAAGATTTTAGTTTATCTCAAAAAATAGGAATGGGAGGCTGGTATTAAAACGACTCATTAGATAAGAATTTAAAAGCTAAAGATTGAAAACCCAATTCAGCTATTATGACATCTAAAATTTAAGATGAATTGGAAATCAACTCCACTATGACAGTAAGAGGGAGACCAATGGCTTTCAACGGACTGTTGGCCCCAAAATGGAAGTGAAGGGCTTGGCTGCCCTTAATGAGGAAGATTCATTCTCTACTGACTGCAGACTCAAGGGACTGCTTCTCTGTGCTCAATTCTTCATGCTGTTTTTAAATTGGAACATTTCTTTTGTATTCATTATATTTCATAGAAAAAGTTGCATCTTTTATTTTAATACCACTGTATCCTAATTAGTAATTTTCCTAACAGTGGAGGAACAGCAATTAACCTCTCATCAACATATTCAAGAAAGGCTACTACTGAGTGACTCCCTTGCCAGACAGTGTGGGGGCCGTGTGGGGTCTTGTTTTTGAGAGGGTCTCCTTTTGCTCTACTCTTTTTCCTAGTGTCGCGGTGTGGTGTGTTTTCTTCTGTTGTGGGGAGACAAATTTTAAGCTATGCACACTACTTTATAGTTAATGAAAAAGGGAAGAGGGAAGACAAGTGAGTTATCCCATAGAATAATTAAAACAGGCCTCTACCTTTCTTGGCTGAGAAACCTGGCAAGTACATCACTGGCTTTTAGCTCTTCCGTTAGCTGTATTGCCATGGAAACTTTCGAGAGACTGGGAGCTTGCACTCGAATCACTCCCTGAGGAACGTCAGCCTGCAAAGCAATAATGACACTGGAACAAAGCTGGCGGCAGCTGGAACATGTAACTCTGTACAATGCATTATATGGTAAGTGTGCTTAACTACTACGCATTTTACTTCACTGCATAAAAACCTTAACTACTGTATAATGTAATTTGCTAAATTACATCAAACCTCAAATATCCTCTTAATGGTGATAGGGGAACTTTATAATGCCTGTGCAGTAATGCTTAATTATTTTTAAAGATGTAAAGAATGACAGCAATAACCATTACTGCCATATTAAGTGCTGATTTCTGAGTATTATCTACTAGAGGGTGCTTCTTCATGTAGCAATTTATGAAATTGAATCAGAAAGAAGTCACCGTGTGCTATAGTTATGTGTGCATTTGAAAAATCTTCCCACACATTAAGAAATTTTCCCCCAAATTTGTCACTGAGTGTCAAAAAGAAAAAAAATAACATGCTTTTCAAATATATTGTATCACACCTGCTCCCTACTTGGTTAATGAGCTTAGACTTCTGACTATACACTTTGAACTAAAGATGACCAATTCTGAGGTCTTCGCTCATGGACGTAAAGAACATTTTATGGATTTGGAGATATTATAAACTCATTATTGATATCAATGTCAGTTATGGCACTTGAAATATTAGACTTAATTAATTCCTAAATGGTTCTGCTAAAATAAATACTAATTTATTATTTATAACCATATGTCTTAAACAGACTTTAGAACAGCATGCACAAATTATGTTTAAAGATAATTCTTTAAGTACTACAAATACCCCATTTAATTTGACCAAAAATTTTCCTAAGCATCTGAGTACCAAATAGTAGATAAGACACAAGTCCTTTCACATAAACATCACATTTTAAAAATGTATGTCTTAAAATGCTTTTGCTTTTTAGACAAAACATGCCATTAATTTCTATGTTCAACAATTATATGCCTTTAGAATCAGGCGACACAAAAGCACAGGTGTCCTCAAAAGGCTTAAAATTGATTTTTCAGTAACATAAGTGATTTCATGTGGGAATAAAGAAAAAGAAGTGACCTTGAAGAGGACTTACTGCCCAGGGAGCATGGCTGTCCCCAACCCCTGTCCAGACTGGACCCTCAGCTTGGTTTTGTGACTTCTACTACCTAGGTCATGTAACTTGACCTCTAGGATAAAAATCTAACTTACCTTTTCCTTGACTGACAAATCGCTTTCATTTACAACATACTAGAAAATGAGCTGAACAATTTCTTACCATGCCTGGGGTATCTCCTCTGGTACTAATCTTTTTCTTTGCAGAGCAGTTAAATCAATGCTGTAACACAACTCGGGAACAATCTGGACCTCTCCCTTGGGGATAATCTCTATAGTTTATATTTCCTACTATGACCGTTCTACCTGCTGGCCTGTCCTCAACTATGTCTCCTTCAATAGGAAATGGAAAACAAGAAACAGTGTAATAGCAAAACATGAAGCATTGAACTGTATTTACAGGACCCTTGACTCCCTTGTCCACTCAGGACAATACACATTGTCACATATCATTGGCATTTTCAATTCCCTTAGTCTATTATCATCTTGTACAGGGCCTTGAATGACTGGCTAGAGTTTCAGATAACCAGTATTTCTTATGTCAGCTTAAAGTATGTGGCTAAGTCATGGCTGCAAAATATCCTTCCATATTGGTTTTGTTGGAAGAAAGTAATAGCAGCAAACATTGTTCCATAACTACCTGTTAGCTAGCCCAAGAATATTAAAAAAAAAATCCAACTAACATTTTATTCACCTTAAGTATTAATGTAAGTTTTTATATACAGAAGATCCATAGAAATGTATTATAAAACCAAAATGTACCAGGAAAATATATTGGAGAACTAGGGGATAGAGCAACCTTACTCCCTGCCTTTCCCTCTCAACTGTTGGTGTGTACTCCACTGTTTGGTTAAAAAGATGAACAAAAATTCACTACAACCACCACATGTTATCCTATCTGTACACGCTTTATCCTAATTCTGGACTATTTCTGCTATCTATACTTGGAGGCCAGCCCATACTTTATGCACCCTTCTCTTCCATAATCCATAGGATAAAAGCAATGTCTTACATGGAACCCCATATGATGGGCATTCTAATATATGCCACATATCTATGGCTGTAGCTACTCATGTTAATTGATTAAATGAATCATTATTTTTTCACTAAAAATGATAGGTTGACAGTACATAACATTTCTCCAAAATAAAAGCCTACCAACATGCTTTCCTTTATTGCCAAAATATAACTCTAGACACACTGTCTAAAAGAAGTTAAGCTATCACATAGTATTCCTTCCTCTTTCACATTTTTCCTTACTTTTTCTTGATAGAAAGCAACTGAACATGCTATATGAAATAATTTAGTCATTTACTTCTGCAGAGAGTCAAGGAGAAAAGTCAGGGTTTCCAACAGTAGCATGCACCTACTTGGGGGTATAGCCCTCTTCCCCTCTAAGGATCTCAAGGAGAGCTGAAGGCCTACACTAATAAGCATAGACCTAAGCATTCTCAATGAATTCAGGGATTATGGCCTTGGAGAGTTTGGCTATGCTTCCTCAAAAGTGCAGCACTGATTTAGTATGGGGTCAGAATTTCCAAGAGAACTACATCTGACACACAATCCAGAGAATTGGGCAGGGCCTGTAGGGATCAGTGGCAGAGCACAGGCTTAGCATGCTCAAGGCATGGGGTCCAATAACTACTACTACCACCAGACATACTCAAGTCTTTCTGATAGTTAGGAGTTTGAAAAAGGAAGACTTCAGGCAGTAGCTTCTGAAGGCATTTGGGAGTTTTTCTGTCTATGTTGTTGTTTTCTTGCCTCATAATGTGCTCAACGCTGAATTTTGCCAGTGTGGGGAATGGCCTAGGCATTCTCCAGTGGGTTCCTTATGGCTGGGAGTAGAACATTTCCCACACCCTTTCAGGGGATGAGGCTAGGCCAGCTCGGGCTCAGCATTAACTCTTCCCAATCTACTGACTGTCAAAAGGTCGACTCATTTCACACAGAGTGGGCACATCGATACTTTTCATTGGGGCAGACAATGACACACAGCAACTTCCCAGATCAACTGGAGAACTTGTAGTCAAACCAGATAAGAGTGCATGACTTGTGTGTCTATGAGAGGAACAAGTCTCGGTTTAATTCATCCCACCCCAACGCTTGCAACAATGCCGAGACTGACTCCATGAATCTACCATGCCCTTTACTGTTGGAGATGAGCTTAGCCAGTCGATGTAATGAGAGAGAGCTTAAAAGTTGTTTCTGGAAAGTTTTTCAGAGTATAGTGACAAGGAAGGCCAAAATGATATTTACATGAAGATGATAAACAGTAAATGATGCCAAAGCTCTCGTTTAAATGGTGTATGACAACTGCTATTAAGCTCCAGAATCATGCTGCATCAAACTCGAATCCTATTAGTATACTAATTACATTGAGCTGCCAAGCTTTGAAAAGACACAACATGCCTGATCATTAAGCCAAACAGTCTGTTCTTAACTTAAGCCATAATAATAGCTGAATCTGGGCACAGTATAATCTTTGTGACCTTCCTATTTCATGTTCTCTGGTGTAACAGCTGCGACACTATCCCCTTTTTGGGTGGGAGGGGATGCTTATGAAATGATGTGATGCACAGTAGTTCTGGAGAAGTATTTGACTAACATATCCTTAAGGTTTAGTTACCAAGGATTTTATATCTTGGTATTAATTTCTTTTGCATGCAAAGACTATTATAGTAGAGAAGATGATCTCATTTTGTACTTTTTTAATGTATTGAACTAAGATTTTTTTAAAATCTGATTTTTTTTGGCCTGAATGATTTTAGTATTTCATAAGATATGGCTTTGTTCATATTTTTGCTCTCTAGAAATTTAATGTCAGATCATAAGAGAAAATTTCTTTTCATTAAAACATTATAAAGCTGATATTTTTAATGCTACACAAAATGCCTTTCATCTTCAAAAGGGCGAACTGGAAATAGAGCTTTTTTAAAAAATGCCAGATATATACTTTAGAAAATTAAATAAGGACATTTTAGCAAGGTATCTTAAACAAAAATGGCATATTCATCACCCTAGTCAAAATCAACAATACTTGCAGGTAGTGACATAGACGGGATTCTCTACTATCCTGAACTAGGATTGCTTATAATTGGGTCTTCATTATCCAAATGCCTCAAACTTTTTCTCCAACTTATAGGTTCAGACAATTTTAAAGGGGCTTTAATATCTTTCATAATTAATAAGATTTTAATTTCCAGTGAAACAAGTTCTGATATTTTTCTCTTTTAATGTGGTTGTTTTTATGACACTCTGATTTTTTTTAATAGTGCACAAAAAAAACAAGATTTTGTGCTTGATATTGTAATTTGATTTTCCACATGGTTCCAAGTGACTGTTTCCAGACCTAAAGCAGATGCTGGAAACAATACCTGCAATACTGCTCTGGGGTGAGAGCTGCTAAATAAAACCAGAGATGGAATTCTGAATAGAGGTGTGATTTACGGGCATACAAACCAAGACTCCATATTGCATGCAGCCAACATGAGGATGCTTCTGGTAGCCACAACAATTTTTTTTTTTTTCCCAAAGCCCTGAACTTTAAAATGCTACAAGATCATTCCAGAACTTCTGGCAAGTCACATAACCTCTCTAAAACTTGAGTTCCTCTGCAATAAATGAAGCTTGTGTCATCAGGCCATCCTGAGTTAACCTGCAGTTAACCATGCGATGAGAACGTTTGTTTCCTTGACCAGTGAGGTCAGATGTGAGGAGCATAACATATTTCACATATCCAAGTCCCTTGCTCTTCTAAAGGTATAGGTTCCTGTGGGAAGTGAGCCTGAATGGTGGATGATCATATAGATCAAATTCCACAACAGATATCCAAGCCTGGAAGATTTAGCAGCTCACAACCAACTGCCCCCACATCCTTATCAGTTAGAGAAGCAATTATGGGATGTCTGATTTTCTTAAAAGAAAAAAAATGTATTTTTTTATTGATGTTGGTTCATGCAATTTCTACTTTTGAGCATGTTAGAAAAAAGATCTGTGGTACAATTAAGGAAATATACACACACACCAAATGAGGGTGTTCCCTTACAGTTTCAATGTAATTCACATACTCAAGTCCCACTCTGGAAGATTCTGACTCAGATCTAAGGATTGGCTTGACAATGTTTTTTATTTCTATACACTATAAATGCTTCCATGGAAAACTCTGGCAAACACCACTAATCTCACCCTAGCTTATAAAATTAAATAACTTGCACTCATTAATGGCAGTGCTAGAGCTGTATGCTGAAGCCATGTAGCTTCTGTTAAGTGTATGAGGGACATCAATCCCTACAAATCAAAACCTATCAGCAAATGGTTATTTTTAATGGTTCACAATGTTATTTTCTCCAATTGTTTCTTCCTGTGATAACAGATAGTATTTAATATGCTGTAGTCATTAAAAGCATTTGTCTTATTAGGTAAATTGAGTGTGTCTTACAACCTGGCTCAAACTATTAATTTATCTAGTCAAGCATATCTTAATAACATGAATGCCCAATTATGTATAGTTAGATTTAATAGCATGCAAAATTTTAAAAATATTACCTTGATGCATTTTCATGATCTCTTTTACTCTCCAATCCCTGGAAATCTGTCTTCTGCCATCAATACTCACCGCCAATACTTTGGCAAAGTCATAACTGACCTTCAAATGCAAAAGCCCTTGGACCTTTATCCAACGTAAACCACCTCCTCCCTGCCATATTGGTACTACTATCCCAGCTCTATTTTGCTCTTCCTGCCTGTGCTTCTAAGACAGTACACATTCTTCAACATTTTTTTTGAGGGGGGGTACCGGAGATTGAACCTAGGGGTGCTTAACCACTGAACCACATCCCTCCCCATTCCCCCCACCGCCAACACCCGTTTTTATTTTGAGAATGTCTTGCTAAATTGCTGAGGCTGGCTTTGAACTTTTGATCCTCCTGCCTCAGCATCCCAAGTTGCTGGGATTAAAGCATGTGCCACCACACCTGGCTCAATTTAATTTTACTTCCTATTTGTTAGTTTAGATATTAGGTGTTCCCCAAAAGCTCATGTGAGACAATGAAAGAAAGCTTAGAGGTGAAATGATAGGGTTATGAGAGCCTTAACCTAGTCAGTGTGTTAATTCCCTAAAAGGGATTAATTAACTAGGTGGTAACAACAGACTAATAGGATGTGGCTGCACGAGGTGGATTATTTGGTATAGATTTTTGTCTTTGTTGAGCAGAGCTCTTTCTCTCCGCTTCTGGGTGGCCATGTCTTGACCTGCTTTTCTCCACTACATAGTGTTTCCAACACTACATATGTTCTGCCTCACCTCAAGCCCTGAAGAATGGAGCCAGCTATCTATGGACTGAGAATTTTGAAACCACGAGCCCCAAAATAAATTTTTCCTACTTGAATTGTTCTTGTCAAGTCTTTTGGTCACGGTAGCAGAAAAAGCTAATTAAAACATTATGACTTCATAGCCTCTTACCAGCTCTACTGCCCTCTTCATTGGATCACTACTTAAATATTAGTGTCCCCAAAGATCTGTCTATGCTTTTATTATCTCATTCTACATATCCAGCTTGTGTGCTGTGAAGCACACTGTATGGCTTCCATTACGATCTCTAGGCACCTCCATCCCTGGATGCCCCATGAACTTTGCACCCATGTAGTCAGTTCACAGTCATATCAACCCAAGACATAAAAAACTGATACTTCAAGTCTGTTCCCTTTGCTTGATACATTATCTTGCTGATAAAGCCATCCTAGCAAAATTATCGAACAACTTACCTAATTTACTGCAATATTTGTTAAGGACCGTGCCTTATTTTTGGTGAATCTTACCAGGTCAGGCATGATGGTAAACATTTTACAAACATCATCATGATGGTAGTCGGAGTATATTCCTTTGATTTTTTTTCCTCAGATGAGGAAAGTGAGGATCAGCAGTGTTTAAAAATCATTTATTATAATTTGTTATACATAACAGCAGAATGCCTTTCAATTCATAGTACACATATAGAGCACAATTTCAGAATCGGCAATCTTAACAAGCTGATCTAGATAGTAAGTCGTGGAGCTGGAATTTGAAACCAAATCTGGTTGTCTTTTAATCATGGACTTTACTTCTCCATGGACCACAGAACTGTAAGAAGGAAATATACCAAAATGCTGAGTTTATGGTTGGTAATGAACATGGATTGCTGCTGTTAGAAGTTTTATATATAACTTTTAAAACAGTCCTGGGATGGAGCCAAGGCCCAGTTGGGAATAGAATGAAGTTTAGATTATGAGCCAGTGGGACCCACAGGACATGGATACTGGTTGGATGTGAGGAGGGTAGAAGAAACTTATGCAAAATCTGTACTGCCTGACCCACCATATATCTATAGTATTTGAACTCGCCTAGTACTTCTATTTTTTTTCAGTAATTATTTTCTGTGCCTATTTACTCTCCCCATTAAAAATTACAGCAACTTGAAAAATAAATTCTGGAAATTGATTAAAGATTCTCAACCACAATGACAGGTCAAACAGACCTCGCCCTGGGCAGTGAGGCCAGGAAGCCTCCACTGAGGGTTAGATCAGGTCTGGTGACGCCTGATATCTCAGTTTGACTCCCTGTAGGCTCTTTGGTGTCTACTGCCTGCTTTCCAGCCTGACGGTGCTCCACTCACTCACCTCTAGCACCTCTGAGCTACATTCCTCTCCTGGCTCCCTGAGGGCAAGTCCCCTGCACCAGCTGCCTCTGAATACCTAACCTGAGTGGGAGCTTGACATCCAGGAAGCAGTAGCATCTTGTTAAGTGAATAACTAAATTGTAGAACAGCAGAGAAAACCCAAACTCGGGGAAAACCAAAAACTATTAAAGTTACAGCTAATATATTAAAAAGCAGATTCAAATTTCAGGCCTTAAAATGTCAACATAGCTTTTCAATAGGGCAGAGATAATTTTCTGCCCAGCTTATATCTAATTAGTTCAAAGGTGCAAACAGAAGAAATAAAAATTAATGCTCTTTCTGTAAGTGACAAAAAATTAAACATTTCCCTCTAGAAAATAACCTTTTCACTTTTTGTTAAGGACTTACTATGAAAAAGGTATCTCCCAAGGGTCTACTAAAGGCTCAGTACCACAGTATAACTGCCTTATAGAGAGACAAGGCTATAAAGTCAATATGAATAATTAGGGCTACAAAACAAGATATCCAATATTTATAATGGTGTTGAAGGTAATAAAGAATTCTAAAGTTAAAAATGATTTGTCAAAAATCCTCCCCAGCCCTATAATATCAAGTCCTACTTCAAAAAAAAAAATATGAACAATCTTGTTATTTCACTATATCATTTTGTGCGCTTTTAAGGGCACTGAAAGTTTATTTAAAATTTCACAATGCCAAGAAAGCTGTATATCTATTTAGGAGAAAATTTGGGTCATATCATTACTAGCTCTCTCAGCAGGCCAATGCAGAAGAAGCAGACAAAGGCCGATTACTGCATTTTCAAAAGGTTCCACAAGATGTCAGCATGTAACTGGACAACCTCCACCATGGTGCCGAGGGGTGTACTCACACCCCAACAGAACAATAGAAACCCTTCATTTCATGATCCTATGCTAGAGCTTTGGTAACTCAATTCATAAACGTTTTCATGCACGTTTTATTGCAAATTCTGTGGTCAATACATTCTTACAGACCTTTCTAAATACTGATAGTGAGATATGTTTTGTTCAAAATGTCTTAATTTCTTTAGAATATAACTCAATTCTTCTGATCAAATTGAGAACCTTTGGATACTTAAGTCCAAGAACAATCCTAAGCCCTATACCAACATTAGCCAGTTTGTCTAAATTGTTTTCCCTCATTTTACAGATGAAAAACTAGCAGCCCTGTGTGGTGGCTCATACCTGTATCCCCAGGGCTTCAGAGGCTGAGACAGGAGGATCGCAAGTTAAAAACCAACCTCAGCAACTTAGGATCTTTCTAAGTTGCTTAGGGCTTCACTGCCTCAAAATAAAATAGAAGAGGGCCTGGGATTGTGGTTCAGAGGGAGAGCGCTTGCCTCGCATGCTTGAAGCACTGGGTTCGATCCTTGGCACCACATAAAGATAAAATAAAGATTGTTTCCACCTGTAACTTAAAAATAAATAAAATAAAGGGCCTATGGATGTAGCTCAGTGATTAAGTGCCCCTGGGTTTGACCCCACAGTACAAAAAAAAAAAAGGTTCATGAAGGAGATTTTTCACTTGCTAGATACTATATAGTCAGTAGGCAACAGAGTCTCTGTGGGAGTCCTGAGTGTCTGAGTTGCTCATTCTTGTTATATTTCTTTGCTCCCCATTAATGGGTCACATGCTGAGTCACCAAACCTGGCCAGCTGTCAACACTTATCACTGGGAGTAACAGAGGATAGCTATTGTTATCAATACATTAACTCATGTGTAGTACCAAGGCTTAGCAAGTGATAAAGTCTCACTATAGAAACAATGCAAATTAATAAATACAGATCTTCACAATTTTCTTACGTCATTTGTACTCTTATCTTGCTTTTCATATTTTTCTCGGTCATAAGCCATTTTCTTCAGTAATTTCTTCATAGCTTTTCTGTCCTTTTTATGGTTTTCAGTGTTTTGCTTCCTCACTTGATTGACAATAAACTTGGGAATCTATAGAAAAAAAGAAATTTAGTTTGGGGAAGAAAGACAGGTTACCATTTTAGAACTACAAACATTTCTTTATTGAATTTTGAGAGGCATACAAGTTCTACTTAATAAGCCTCTACAATTTTGCATTTTTACTAGTCATTAAATCTATGGAACGATAATGTACATTTCCTAAATGAATAATATGATAAAGAGCAACCACAGGGGCTGGGGATGTGGCTCAAGCGGTAGCACGCTCGCCTGGCATGCATGCGGCCCGGGTTCAATCCTCAGCACCACATACAAAGATGTTGTGTCCATCGAAAACTAAAAAAAAAAAATTAAATTCTCTCTTAAAAAAAAGCAGCCACAGGATAAAATTGACCACCCATTGTGTAAGGTTCCAAAGAGGCTTTGTGAAGTTCAAAGGCATAGTGACTTCTTCCTTGCCATGAATATCAAGACCAAGACTCCTTTAGGGGATTAGTAGTACAGGCCATTACTTCGAATTTTCCTTTGCCATCACCTCTCTGCAGCCCCTGTAGATAACCTACAGTCCACCTCTAATAAGAGGCCTCTTGTCAGGAAAAGAAAAGTTTACCATCAGGGAGCTAGCAATAATCCAGGAAAAATTGATCCTTAGAATCATATTAATGACAATGAAATATATTTTTAGTTACCAAACTATAAACATGAAATAAAATTAGCATTTAAAAAATTAATACTTAATAACTGGATGACTTTTAAAAATCATTTTGACCTGACCTGTATCAGTTGCCTTTATAGAGAATATAAAAATAAAAAGTTCAGAATCTAGATAATATCACTTTGCTTTTTTAACAAAATATCTGGGGTTTCTTTCAATACTATAATTTTCCTTAGAACTATAGTTTGTTTTTCTAAATGCCTCTCACTCAAATTCTAAATTTCACTAGAAAATGAGGTCTTAATCAACTAAACCTATCATCTATCACTATGTCCTGATTATCTGTCAAAACTTAAACTCAAGGATGAAATGGAAAAACCATTTTCAAGACAGTCTCAGCAAACAATGTACAAAATGTGTGTCCCTTCAAATAATAGGTCTATGAAAAATAGCAGTGAATAAACTGAAGTCAAGATAGCAATAGCTCTTTAAAACAGCTCCTGCCAGGCATGGTGGCACATGCCTGTAATCCAGTGACTCGGGAGGCTGAGGCAGGAGGATGACAAGTTTGAGGCCAGTTGCAACAATTTAGCAAGGCCTTGTCATAAAAAATAAAAAGGAATGAGCTGTATCTCAGTGATAAAGCCTCATTGGGTATAACCCCCGGTACAAAAAATAAATAATAACCCTGCCTTGCAAGTTGATATACACCTGTAATTCCAGCTGCTCCAGAGGTCAAGATGGGAGGATCGCAAATTTGAGGCCAACCAAGACCCTTCTACAAATTAAACAAAATAAGGCTGGGGGTGTGGCTCAGTGGTAGAGTCCTTGCCTACCTAGCACAAGGCCTTTGTATCTGAGAGGGGAAGGAAAATTGTAAATGGGGAACTACGGGGGTAGTGAAAGGACCAGTAAAAAATACAAAGGGCTGGGATTGTGGCTCAGTGGAAGAGCACCCCTGGATTCAATCCCCAGTACCAAAAAAAAAAAATAAATAAAATAGAAATTCACAAGGTTCTCCTTACCCGTGTGAATAAAATGCCTTTAATTTCTGCACTCACAAATTTTAAATACAATCTTATAAAACTGGTAACAAAAATATAATGTGTTTATTAAACCATTAAAAAAGAACATTACATTTTTATATCTGCTTCATAAAAGCACGTTCAAAATTGTTATAAATAATTATGCAAAGAAATTCTATGGTCATTAATGCTGTTCAAAAACATACTTACTGTCCATAGAAGTTTCTGATACTTAATCAATAAGTGCATGATGTTTGCTGTCCCAGCTGCCATTCCAAACTCTCGTTGTTCATTGGACTTCAGACCCAATGCATGACACATAAAGAGATTTGGGGCCATGACCATTGCTACATTCATGACTGTCATTTTATTTTTCTCTTTATTATCTATGACTCTTTGGAGAAATTCCAGCAGGGCCTAAAAGAGAAATGACCATGAGATTTGTTTTGTACATGGAGATAAGAGATTAAAGCATTGAAGCAGACACGATTTTTATGTCACTTAAAAACTAAGATGTGTAAAACCACAGTCAGCCAGCCACACCCCACAGTCCTTATTCTGGAAGCTTTTTCCTTTGGCCAGTCCACCAGGAGACAGTACTTGGCTTCTGTGAAGAACCATAGCTTGTGTGGTCTGCAGGAGGCAGAGAGTGTACCATCTGAACTAGGAACCTACTAAGCCTCTAGGAGCCATGGAGCATACAAAGATCCACTTATTTTAGAACATGCTATAGTTTTATCTCTAGGGATTATAAGAAAAAAAATATCCTTAACCCATTTTGTCCCATTATCTCAGATGTAGAACACCTACAAAAACTTAAATTGAGCAACAAATATACTATGGTAAATGAAATATTTGAATATTTATTATATTTGCAAAATTAAAACTTGGGACTTAAATGTTAAAAAGACCCATTCACCCCGAGTTTCATTCGCCTTCAGTGAAAGCACTCAATAGTTGACTGGAACCTAAAAAGAATGAAGACTGACACGAGGAATGAGGGAAAAGAGGAAAGATGAAGGAGAAGATAATTCTTACTGAATGAAAGAAAGGGAATCTTTCAATCAAATAGGCTAGATTATTCTCAGATGTTACCCACTTCTAACTCTACTGCAGATGCCCAGTCTCCTCTGCACCTGCCCTCCCCAAAAGTCACCAGCAGCTCAGGTCAGCCTGCTCTGACATGGCTTCAAGTTCTCCTTTTGCCTTCTTCATTTGTCTAGAATAATCACCGATGCACAGGTATTTGAAGTTCTCTATGGGCATGGCAGTGCACTAAAACACAGTACAGAGATCAGCTTGATCCTTAGAGAAGACAGATGTTGTACTTATCCCCTCTTACAGGGGAGAAAATTCTGTTTTCAAGAAGGTTAAGTAACTTGCTAGAGTTCACACAACTACAAATGTGGAGAAGAAATTTAATTGAAGATCTATTTGGCCTTTGTTTCTAGACTCAACAACTGACTAAAACAGTCATGTTTGCACAGTTAGCCCAAAATTTCTACCTAAAAAAGTAAACTATACCAAATATATTATAATGGTAAGACAAAACAAAATACAAACTGTCTTTCACAAGATTTCAGGGAAAAAAACAAAAAGTCTTAAGTACTAACACTAAGTTTAGCTGCTCTATAGACCTTGGAAAGTTGAAACAAAGATAGATACTTAATATCTAGCAAGATTTATCTAATATCTGTAATCCAAGCCTAGTGTTCCAATAGAAACAAGTTCTCAAGAGAAAAATTTGAAGTTTGGAAAATGATTAATTTTGTTCCACGGAGACTAGAACAATTGTATAGGGACCAGTGTGTCTCTTTATGAGCATAAATTACAAAAAAACATAGGTAATTATTTTAATCATGGTGCACACATGCAAAGATATTCGAAATATTAATATCAGGATGCTATCTAGCAGGAGGAAGGGAGTGGGGAAAAGGAGGAAAGAAGATACAAATTTAATAAGATGTTAGCCTCGCCTTGCTGAAAAAACTGCAGTATTTTTTTTTTCCACAAACTAAGAACTGGTGGCCGTATAACCAATGTGATACTGCAACCTGTACACTTGGAAAAATGAGAAATTATCATACATTTGAAACAAATGTATGATATGTCAAGATCATTGTATTATCATGAGCAACTAATAAAAAATAAAATAAAAGAATGATGACTTTTAAAAAAACTGTAAGAACTGTCCTTTTTTTAAAAAGTATTTCCTTTGTGATGAGTCATTATAGTTCCCTTCCCTGAAAACACGCATTTGAATCCCAGCACAGTTATTCCTTAGCTATGTGTGGTCTTAGGGCAAATCCTTTTATATCTCTGTGCTTTAAATTTTTTCAGTTGTAAAATGGATATTTCAGTCTCATAGCTTGCAAGGATTGAGACAAAATATATAATAAAACTATAAAAAGAATACATATGGGTAATTAACATGGATCTCCTCTTGATATTTTAAAATCATTCTTCTAATTCTCTAAATCAAAGGTAAGTATGATCAAGAGTCCAAATGCACAATAATTCAAAACAAATAATTTTGATTAAGCAGCTTGCCCAAAGACACCTGTCACTTTATAGGTATGCCTGGTGTCTCCTTAGATTTGCTGTGGAAATACTCTACACAAAGTACACACATGATCCTCTTTCTCCTGATAGCTGAGGAATAGTGCAAGCACTGGATACATCACAGGAACTCTGCATTAAGTTTCCTAAAATTACATTGCAATGTGTTTCCTTTTCCTTTCGTAGAAGTAAATTTAAAGTTTATTAATTTATGGTTTATGATATACCATTACAGGCTTCCATTAGAATTCTTGCTTGAAACCATCAATGTTGGCTATTTGAGTCACTAAAGCTTAAGTCAATATGTAAAATTACTTATTTGCATCTCCCAAATTTTGATCAAAAAATCCTTCTCCATTAAAAAATTATCTTCTAGTAAACTTACATGCAAAATAGAAATCAACCCTAAATTTTAAACATACACTTTTAAACAAAATTGTTAAAAGAATACGCCTCAGACTTGGAAGGCAAAGTCCAAAGATTTCTAGACCAGCCCAATAGCAAACATACTGGAATCAGCGTTTTCTTCTAAAACTCGGAGAATTTATTTGAATATATCCATATTTTAAGGAATTATGTGTATTTCACTTTTCACCTTCCACTCCTTGTTCACAGGGCTGTCATGCCAACAGGCATTTTTATGTGAGTAAGAAAAAGATGTTCCCCAATCTTCCTACATAGTGGAAACTATATCAAGGGCATGGCTGGTAATTAGAGGACAGGCAGAAAATCAGCCCCACTCTGTCCTGGACCCATTTCAGCAACAATCTACACATTCTTACACAGTAGCCCTGCTATGGCAATATCCGAGTGTAACTAGTCCTAGAATCGGTCTCTGCCACAAAAACCAAACCTACCCTAATATTGCCTTCCAAGTCATGCCTTTGACAATCAGTAGAATAGAAGATTTGTTTCTGACATAGAAAAGGGAGAAAACTCTTTAGACATTCTCCTATTGGAGAGGTAGTGCATTGCCCCTAGTCATCCTCATGGAAGTGCTTTATCCAAAAAAGTTGAATAGTTACGTTCATTCCAAGTGCATTAGAGAACTACTGCCCATGAACTTATGGTTCAAAGAGTTTTTATAAGATGCAGAAAAAAATTCTCAAGACTGACCAAATGATGATTTTTCTTTACATGAAATTTCTCAACATGATATTTAACTTTAAATAGAAAAAAAATGCAGGGAATAAAAAGGCAAGGGTCCTGTTCCACCTACATAAAACAATTTTTATGGTAATGGCAAAATTAAAGTAAATATTCTCTCAATTATATATTGAAATTCCCTTTTTCTTTTATAAAAGTTTATAATTAAGCCTTTACAACTACTCCATAAACTTTGGCCCTTGAGGAAAATAAATCAGTGCGGAACAATTCATACTGATTATAAGAGCCTCTAATAACACTTATAATAAGTGGCATTAAAACATATGAATATTAGAACAAATCATTTCAAAATTATATAAATCAGAAAAAAAAAGCCCTTAGAGAAATAACTAGAATTTGAGTTGGTCTATCTTTAGGCTAACAAATAGTTTAAGTCACCATTAACAACTTATTTAAAAAACTCTACCCTTTGGAACTACAAAAGATTAAGATCCTTAGGCAATAGTGGGTTGTATTTATATTAGTGAGTCTTAGGATTTTCATTTTAAATATTATTAACCTTATTAATACACACTCATTAAACAGAATTTGGAAAATGTAGAATAGGAAACAAAAAGATATTCATTGTTTCCATTAATCAAATGAACCTTAATCATCTGTTTTGGTAGAAGAAATGTTATAGAAAAACCTAAAATGCAAAAACCTAGTAATATGAACAACCAACACAATAAGTTAATAAAGAATTAAAGACTTTCCCTCCCCATCAGTCCTTAGAAGTCTTTTCCTTTTAAACTTCTACTAATCTTTCCAAGGTAAACATCACATTGTTGTACTGTAAATAATGAAAAATCACTATGCTACGTCCTAAGGGATATTTAATGTAAATTATCCCAGCTGACCTTCAGCGTGTCTCTGTTTGCATCTGGCAGGAGGATGACAAGGAGGTTCAGAGCCTGCAGTTGTTGCTTCTTGGTTGGAAGATCTGTAGATAGATTAGATAGATCTGAACTCTTTTCTTTCTGAATATTTTTCTTTATCTTTTCAAGCAAGAAAGTTATTTGGCATAAACATTACAGTCAAATGTAAGATGCAACGATGACTGAGCAGCAAGCCTGGTTGAGAGAGTTTGTGGGAGATCAGTGGAGCAGCTGCCAAGAGCTTCCTCTCCCTCAGAATGCTCACTTCCAACTGTGATCATATGACGAGCGGCCTTATGTTTGCAGACACAACAGTGCTTTGGAAATAATTTTAACTTCTGTGAGATAATTATTCCCCAATGAAAAGACACAGAAGATTGGACCTTCCATGACATGGCATCAGGGTGCATCTTGTGTTTCTTTTAATAGTGAGTGAACAAATAACATGGGAAGAGTCCACTAATTTCAACAGGAATAAGTAAAACAGGGTCTTGGAACACAGTTGGTGTTTAATATGTGTTTGTGCAATGAATTAGGAAACCAAACAGCAACTAAAAGTATCTAAGAGCTACATTATAAACACTGAATCTATGATCTTCAGTAGTCCTCACCCCATTTAAGTAGTATTTATGTACATTTAGAATCATCCCAGCATTTGTCAGCAATCAATGTGGTCCTTTAATCCATATTCAGGAGATGTATGCAAAATAACACAATTTAACCATTAAAAAAATATTTTAAGCAGAAGATGGTTTCCTTTGTTTAAAGGTGAAATCTGTTTTAAAAATACTTCTAAACATATTTCATGTTTCCCTTATAAATTTTGAAGAAATATTATGGTACAAAATGACTCATGAATTCATCTCAATATTGTATGCTTTAAGAATAACCTGGAACCGTTCTGATTGACATGGTAGCTCACCATAATTATTAACAGTGTCCCTCTTTCACTCAAAAGTGTCCCAGTCTGGAAGCTAAAGATATGGTTGCTTAAACATGTTGACAGCGTTCTTTCTTTTTTAATGGACTCTCAGAGTAAAAGGGATAATTGTGCTGGTACATAACCCTTATAAGATCGCTGTGTTCCCTGAAAAGGGAATCAAGAACTATAACAGACATTAACTTGGAGCTTGACCAAGACCACAAAATTGCAACACAAAACTAGTCTGTGTCCTCCACCAATGAAGCAGCAAAGTGCTCTGTCCCATGCTTCCTCACAACAATTTCCAAATTTAATTTTTCAGGGAAAATGCTCAGACTCTACCACATCTCCTTGTGCTTTTATGACAACTGTTAATCCACAGCTTCTCCTGTAAGTGTTGCTTTTAACACTTGGCAAGGAAAAAAAAAAAAAAAGCATCAGAGATCTTCTGCAACTCCTATTAGAGAAGTACTTAAGTTTCCGGGTTTTAACTTTCAATTGTATTGTTTAAATACCAAGCAATTAACCTGTACCCAAAGAGAACATCCTGTAGCCTATTTACGCAGACATGTATATTTGTAAAAGAAAAGGGAAACAGCCCGAGGTATTAGAGCACCTACCGTCATCCATGAGTCAAAATGTGTCTACATGGGTACACCTGGTTAGCTGCCTCACCCTGCCAAATGCATTTAAAACAACATAGGTGGCTCTAGCATCAAAGAGGGATGGCACTTACTCTGCACAGCCTGAAAGGCTCTGAGATACTCTACGCTGAGCAGGGGTTGGGGCAGCTCCCGGATGAAGAGCTTCAGCAGGCTGGCTGCGTCATGCTGTTTGACGCTTTCCCAATTAAATGTCCCTTCATAAAACTTTGCTTCTAGTTCTTGGCAAAGATTCTGAAAGACACAAGGGGGGGGAGGCGGGGGGGGGGATGGCTATCAGTAAGTGCATTTTTCCCCTGCTGAGAGAGTGATACGTTTTCTGCTTTACAAGAATTCCACTCTGAGAAGACATATTGAAGTATCAAAAGTCAATACTTCCGTTACTCAGAAAAATACTATTCCCACCTCCACCCCAGTTTTTCTTTACTAAGAAGAAATTGTACCTAAGGCCAAGATTTAAAAAAAAAAAAAATTTACTCAAACTTTAGTAATGATAGAACATAAAAATTAGTTAAGTTAAAATAGTCCTTCCATTTAGGGGCTTCACCTAGATACAATTCTTCAAGATATTAAAACAAATCACTCAAAAGAGACAATTAGTTATTTAGAAGTGTATTTGTGTAACAAAATGCATAATCAATCTTTGCACCCTAAAGCAGAGGATCACCTCTGATTAGTCACCTCTGGGAAATGGAAAACCAAATCCTATAGCAAACAAGGCATGAAAATACATCAATATACCCGTCTTCAAATGCAGCCATTCTGCTTTCAACTAACTCAAGGGAGCATTCAGAGTCCACTTAGAATTGGAAATACCTACTCATTTACCTCACAGACTCTGCAAAACTTGCTGGCCAAACTACAACTAATAAGTCAATTTAGTTTAATGATCACTACTTTTGACATTTTTAAATAAATATCATGGCATAAATTCTATCATGTCAGAGATCCTGTCAAAGTTTGTTACTTCCTTCTATTAGGTGAAACCAGTTTGCCCCAAGATGGTTTTCATTTTCCTTGTAAGGTGACTTTTATCACATTATCTCTTCCCAACAGAACCCCATCCTCTACCTTCGTTATTTTTATAATTAGTGAAAAGCATGCAAGTAAAGTTAGAAATGGAGAGGTGAGGGCAGAGGGAGAGAAGGAAAAGAGAAAACAGAAAAAGGAGAGAGGAGAAGGAAAAGAGGAAAAACAGGAAGAACCAGTAAGGCAGGGAAGAGAAAAGAGAAAAGCAAAAATTTTGCTTCTTATCGTTAAATTATTTGTAATGAACCAGCTGCTGCATAATCCGGTGGATGACAAGAGGCTGGGTTAACCCAGCTGAATCCACTTAATTGGACGTTGTAGAAATTACATCTAGTTGTCTTTTCTGCCAGCCTTCCCATCACAAAGTAAAATCCACATATATTCACTATTCCGTACTAAAGTCAACCTGTCTTGGATCCTGTGGGGTTGCCATCATGCTGTGCTCATGAGGGCCCAAAGGCTTTGAACTGTCAACTGAGAAGCACTACTTGTGCTGACATAAGTAATATGAAGCCACATTACCTGTTTCCATTCTTTTGTAAGAGAACCCATTTCTCAAGAGCTGATCCCTAAATCACACACAATGCCCATGATTGACTGGTGAACTCGCCGTAGATGTTCATAAATGCAGAAAGACATCGGCAAGTTATCAAACTTACAAACAAGGCAAAGCATTTCCAGGGACCTCTATGTACCAGACATCAAACCCAGGGGACACAAGCTGAAATTTGTCAGCAGGGTATGTCACATTACTGGAATCCTATTAAAATGAGATCACTGTGTAGGAAGAGCCAAGTTGGCTGAATCTAGTGTCTTGGAATAAGGAAACTTATCACTAGGTAGTGCAAACTGTGGAATACATGCATAGTAATTCCAAATCCTAGTAGCACCAAAGCCCAGTAATGACAAGCATGCACCCACTGAGCATCATCTCATCCTGGTCAGCTCTGAAGTTGTCAAACAGGATAATAGGACTTAAGGAAATGAACAGAGAAGATCTCTTCCCTTGATCTTATTTATTCTTGGAGTTTCAAATTCAGTCAGACAATATCTAGCATGTGAGCAGTTTCTCTGCGCTATCTCAGTTTAGAGCCAAAGCTGAATTTGAAAGATAGCGTAAAAGAGATAGTAAATGACTGCTAACCGAACATTTTGTAGTTATAGTTCCAAAGGAACTCCCTTTAAAACGCTTGTCTTGTGGGAGACATATGTAGTACACTCTGCCTGCAGGGTCATTCCATATCTATTGTGCAATCACTGGAAGTTTTATCCCCCAGAACAGGAGTTGGAGCACAGAGTTGAGAACAGGAGGATGCACAGGACCCCAAGGAGAAAAGAAAAGGTAAGGACAAATGGGGATCCAAACCAGGAAGTCTGGGAATCCCCTCGCCTCTTATCAGCATCAGCTGGCCATGGAAAGAAAAGGAACTGTGATGATAGGGAGTGTGGTTGGGACACTCATTCTGCCATCTCGCCAACACTAACAAAGTATGGGGACTATTGTCAAGGGCCATTCTGTGCCAGAGTCTTATGTTTCTGTAAAAATAAAAATCTCAGTTGCTATTACTCATCCTGATAAACCTATCACAACCCCCTATTAATATTTTGAGTCATCATGTTCTCTTTAGACTAGAGTTATTAATATGGCAATTTTGAAAAATAAAAACTTATAAAAAAAAGAGAAGGGAATGTAGAAAACCTAAATATAAAGTGAAGTGTTAAGATGTTTTATTGTTTTATTTTATCCACTTTGTTAACAATAAGGGGTGGGGAGGACAAGTTGGCTTTAAAATGCAAAAGTATAATTAAACAATAAAATTGTACATTAACAGAGCCAAAAGGTTACATTACCTTGATTCTAATGGCAGCTCCAGGTATTCGTAAGAGGCCTTCAGTTTCCAAACCTCCCTCTTCAATTTGAGAAATCAGCTGTGTATAAACAGAAAAACATGCTGATTTTGATATCTGTAACAGGTACATTTTAACATCTGTTTCATATATAAATAAATGAAAGCTGATTGCAATGACATGTACACTGGATTTTATGAGGTTTTGAATGCTAATGCACCACCACAATTCAAAACAATAAGTCCAAGAACTAGTTATAATTTAGAAAAAGTTGGCTCTGGTTTTACTTTGCAACAGAAGTGTATAATTTCGCACAACAGCTGTGGTACTCCAAACAAACAGAACGAAGATGTTCTTTGTTTAAAAGCAACCAAGAACATCCATTTCTTCTGTTTTTCCAGCAACATATTCTGAAATAAAATAAATTCTAGTATCTGCACAATGACGTCACATTTTTAGTTTGTTCCAAGAAAGAATTACTTACAATATGAAGAAAAAAATTTGTTTGCTAATATTTATTTTTAAGTCTTTGATAAACTTGAATATTCTTAAACAGGACTTTTAAATCAAACCAATGGCCAATGACTACACATAGCTCTCTCTTCTGGAACCCACAAATAAAGTCTTTTTGTTTTCTTTCTAAGGATGAAAGCCAGGTCCTCCCACATGCTAGGCAAGTGCTCTCTACCACCGAGTTATATCCCTAGTCCTTTCTCAGACAGGGTCTCACTGACTTGTCCAGGCTGGCCTCAAACTAGCAATTTGTTGTCTCAGATTCCAAGTAACTGGGATTGCAGGTAAGCACCTCTGCTCCCAGCCCTTATTTTTAAAACTATAAGCCAAAAACTCATTAAAGTAAGGCAAATGGGGGAAGTTATGGTGACAAACTATTGAAAGCTACAAAGAAGACAAGAGTGGTCAGTTTCTTAATAGGGTGATCTTCCAACTGGAAAACTAGAACCCACATTTCCTGGGCAGTACACAAATTGTTGATGGAGGTATTCTGTTATTTTTAAGGAAATCAATTCCACATCCTTAGTTTAAATACAATGCATTTATTAGCATTCTTTAGGTTTCCCTTCCTACAACCTACCCACTTTCCCCTTTAGCCTTCTCTTACTTCATCAGACAGAACTAGTCTGCCTCATGTGTAATCTCAGAATAACATTCTCAGCATATCCTAAGGCATAAAATCTTCCAGAGTACAAAAGAATGTTTTTCAGGGAAGACTCCTTTAATCATTAACCAAGGTGTTATAAGCCACATAGACCTGTTTTTCTCTTGTATATAAAAAGTGCCTCTTAAGAACCAAACTAGCTGTCATAAAAGAGCTCCTTTGACCTGAAATCAGTTCTATTAGGGTATGTGAACACTGGAAGCAATGGCAATTTTTCTTTAATGACATCACCTCTTCTATCCTTGGGCTAGGTGGTGTCAAAAGATGCTCTGATTTTTAGGGAGCTTGGTTAAGAATTAACCAAAGAATAGTCACAAAATTCTCCTAAGGATTTATTATTAGATGAAGTATCTTTGACCAGTTGAAGTAGTATGCGATTTTTTAAAAATTAAACCAGAAAATTTTTCAAATCCACATTGTTCAATGGATAGAAACTAAAAAAAAAATTAATAAAATATTTAACACCAGATTTATAAATATTCAATGAATAATTTTCATTTTATTTCACCTTGTAAAATTAACAATAAAACAAAATAATGTTAGATTCTGAAGCAAATTAGTTTTTAGTTTCATTAAATTCACAAAAAATTGATCATGACTTCTAAATAACTAAATGAGAGCAACATCTGAATTTTCAATATTCTAAACTTTTTTATTATTCTCAAAAACTGAATTCCAACATCTGACAGAATCATGTGTGTATACAATCTGAATTTCATATTTTCATATTTCTCACTTTGAAAAATCACACTTTTTCACCATTGCATATTACATTATTAAAATATACTATTTTGCCTTCCTTTTAATTTTCAAGACTTAAAATAGATAGAAAATTATAATACTGATCTATATAGTGAATATGCTAGTTTTAATAATTTATCTCATGTTCTATAATTTATCAGTAATTCACAGCATTTCTCAAAATATAGTATAGATTTATGTTAACTGAAAAATGAACTCAGGCTTTTTTGACACAAAGTATGCCTAGTACGGCCTATTAGTTTGTCAGTAAGAACACTGGATCTGCTAACTAGATTATAAAGTGGACTTTTTCCATTAAATTAAAATTAACAACATTTTATTTTTCAACTCCTTATGAGAATATGGTTTAAACCAAGTGCCTCTGAGGAAAAAATAAATAAATACCAAATAACAACTCAATGGTAGTGGATACGCTCTGCTAGTGGCCTCTTTTGGGGTATATTTCCTCAAACATTAAAAGTATAATCCTCTGAAAATTGGTAATGAATCTCTTTGTAGATCGGTGGTTTCTATTTCTTTCCTTTTACAAAACAGAGGGAAGACCCAATTGAGTTGTCCAGCTGATGAATCCAAAGGCACTTCTCAAGACAGACCACTGTGATTTGCTGCTTACTGTTCAGAGGGGACACAAGCAGATGAGTGTTACCTACAAGCAAACTCTTCATATGAATGAAAAGCTTGGAGCTATACCAATACTTCATACTAGCAGGCTGCCAGAGTCTAGAGAATGTTGAAGAGAAAATAATGAAAAGTAACTAAATAAACTTTAACAACAATTACAACAAAATAGTGTCAAGAGAAATGACAAAGGGAGATTTTTCTCAAGGGACTGGATACCATCCTCAGCCTGGTGAAGAAGCATCATCGAACCTTATGAAAACCTAGGCTCACAGAACTTCCCTGGTATAATGATGTCTTTGTGTGTCCACTTGGCTAGAGTGTCCATTTATTCAGTCAGACATCAGTCAAGATGTTGCAGGGATAGGATTTTTTCAGATGCTATTAACATTTAAATCATAGTTTGAGTAAAGCAAATAACACTCCAGAAATTGAAGGGCCTTACCCAATCAATCGAAGGCCTAAAGGCAAAACCTGGGATATTCCAAAAAAGAAGTTCTGCCTCAAGACTGAAGCATGAACTCTCACCCCAGGGTCCAGACCGTTTGCTCCACATCTGAGGCTTGCTAGCACCCATACCTAGTTGAGAAAATTCTTCAAAGTAATTTACTTCTTATCTTTCTGCATGAATCCCAATGGTTCTGTTTCTCTGCAGAGCCTTGGCTAACATACCTAGGAAGCATGCTGCCGAGATTCCCGTTCTGAGAAGCCATTTGTCTATAACGACTTACATCTTTTCTTGAGACTAAAAGAATTTGTCAGTAACCTGTATTTGTTACCCTCTTTCTATTAATCACAGGAAGCATTGACCACTATTCATACAGATACAGGTTCTGTAGGCAGTGGTTGTCAGAAGCTGATGGGTAGGATAAACCGCACAACAATGTTCATCAGGAGAGACAGAGATACACAGGTTTGGTGTAATGGCAAACAAGAGCAGTAAAGGTCACAATGCTAGTTGGTAAGACAGGGAAATGACCAATTTGGCATAGACTAAGTGCCAAGATTAAGCCTTAGGTTTGGATGAGTCTGTTGGCCTAGTCAACTGTGAAACCATTTCTCCTGCCCCTAGAGATTGCAGAAACTCATATGCCTGGACTGTTGCAAAGTATCCATAACGTGGGTTGTCCACAACTGATCCAATCTGCCTAGCTTTTATCAAATGTAATCTGTGCTTCAGGAGCAATGATGGCTCAGAGGTTGGGCTGGAATTTTTTATTGCTATAGATAATCCCCTCATGAATAATTGAGTGTTGACTACCCAAATGATTTGATAGTTTAGCAATCATTTTCTAATTCTACTTTATGGTCTCTTTGCCTACTTTGGACATAGGCACTGGTAAATTAAATCGGACATCCTCACTGTAAATAGGAAAGCTTGGGAAGTACATACAGGCATGAAATATTCATGAAGATTCAATTCCCTAGAAATTTATAAGCAGTTCTCACTCCTATGTATTATAGAATTGAAATCTCAATTATACAAAGCCAGCTAATATAAGACAGGAAAATGATGCCCGGTGATCACAGTTACAGTAATAACACAGAAAGCATCACCATGAAATAAAAATTACGAGCCTTCGAAACAAATTTGCCTCCTGAATAGAAAATACAAGTACCACAAAGTAAAAGAGACTATATAGTATAATAGTATGAGTACAAAAAAAAAAAAAAAAAAGGCCTACTTACTTTTTGAAAGATCAAGGGTATTCGAGTTCCCGGCACTTTTCTCTGATCTTGTTCTAACAATGTGGCCAGTGGAACACCAAAAAGACCAGAATCTGCAACAAGAAAACAAAATGCCTTTGTTTCCATCAATTGACTAATAATAGTAAATACAAAAAAAAAATGTTAAGGCATAAGATTTCTGACACTGTCATTCAATTAGACAATTATTTATTGAGTACCTACTAGGAAAAGGACAAAACTTGGCCGGCCATTAGGTATAAATAGGTCAATAAAAAAATTGACCCTGCCTTATGAAGAAATATAGCAACAAACAATGTGTTAGCTTGTTGTTACTGTGACAAAATTCCTGAGACAAACAACCTAAAGGAGGAAAGATTTATTTGGCTCATAGTTTCAAAATTTCAGTCCATGGTCAGCTAGCATCATGGCATAAGGACAAGGTAGAACACAGCTCTCACCTTATGATGGCCAGAAAACAAAGAGTGGAATATGGGACAAGATATAGTCCCCAAGGGCAGAACTCTAAAGCACACCTCACTCCCTTCAACTAGGCCCAGCCTCTGAAATTTCCGTCACATCTCAATAGTCCCTTAAATTGTGAATCCATCAACGGATTAATCCATAAAGTCAGAGCCCTCATGATCTATTTACTGCCCCAAAGCCCCAGCTATGAACATTGTAGCACTGGGAAACAAGTCTTGAGCTAACACATGTGCCCTTAGGGGATGTTCCATATCCAACCAGAATACTAAAGATTGAAAAAAAAAATCACTGAAATAATTAGTAAAGGGAAAACTGCTACAAAAGGAAAAACAGACTCCTGTGAGAACATATAAATATTCAAACAATTTACTAAAGTTCAATCAAATTAAAAGTTATGGCTGAAAACCAAGTATTACTCATCTCTTCTAAATTGACATTTAACATTCTACAAAACAGCTAAGTATCAATAAATGCCATTTTGAGAAATAAGCCAACTTTATGATCCTATTCTACAAATGTTTCCACTTTAAAAAAAAAACACTAGATATTTGGTATTCTTTATTAAAAAAAAAAAACCCTACAGATTTAAAATTTAGTCAGTAATCATTCCAGAAGAAATGATAGTAATTTACAAAAATTATAAATGATATTATCTATCATATGCCTGGAGTTTGGTAGAGCATAGTTCCTACCCAGAACCTCCACCTCATCCCCATCACTGTAAGTGGAGAATTACCACAGACGAGATAGCACTTCCTTTATGACACACATTAGAAGAAATAAAAATCATCGGTAAACATGAAGAAGGGGGTGACCTTGTAATCTGAGGACAGACATTGGACACTAAGATGCCACTCACAAGAATTCTAGTAACACAAGAAGTAACTTTTCAGTTTGAGGAATTAAGAAAAAATGTAACTGAAGAATGCCAAGTGTCTAGTATATAGTGTAAACAGCTTAGATAAGCGATGAAGATTATTTTTTAGCTGGGTGTGGTGGCATACACCTGTAATTCCAGCAACTTAAGTGGCTGAGGCAGGAAAATCACAAATTTGAGGCCAGTCTCAGCACTTAAATGAAGAGGGCTGGGATGTAGCTCAGTGGTACAGGGCTCCTGGGTTTAACTGAAACACCAAAAAGACCATAATCTGCAACAAGAATTTTTTTTTTTTTCCAATACTGGAATTTCTACTGTTCCATGGAAACTGTGATAGCTTTAATCAGAGCAATACTTCTCTGCTAGAATGGAATCCTTAAAAACACAAACATAAAAATCATGAGGACTAGGTTTCAGTTATTTAAATTATATTTCTATCTTTTAATTGCAGGTTTTGTGATGAGATTCTAAGAAAAGCATGTGAAGTCTTCTTTCTCCACAAAAGACTCATGAAAAAAAAAAAAAGCACCTTTTAACCCAGAAATTCATCATTCCAAGCCTCAAGCTAGAAGATTCCTAGGAACTGAACACGGAATGCGGTCCACCGTGGGTCCACTAGGACAGAGGATCTGAGGGAAAGACATTTCAGTCCTACAGAGAAACGGCCGCTAATATTTAAACCAGGTGTCTACTTGCCTTGGCTAATGTTACCATAGCAACTCATAGTCCTCATTCATGGTGTCCCTTTAGGAAGCACCTTTCAGGTTAAACAAGAGGACAAAGAGTCCTACACCGTAAAGCTTTGTCAGTAGAGAATTATCTGGATTTCCAGACCAATAAAACCCCAGAGGAACAAAAACCAAAGACATATTCATTCTTTATCGTGCTACAAAATATAAATTCTATTTCTGTGATAGGTAAAGCAAGCTGCTTACAAAAGAAAAACTACACATATATAGGATTAGTATCATCTAGGGGTACTGTATGTATGTCACAATGACGTTTTCTTAATAGGATAAGAAATATTTTCAAAATGTAGTTACAACTCTCATGTAAGTGAAGAGAGGGACAAAATACTAACTACTCCAGTATTTTCTAGCCAGTGATAAGCGAGAGTCATAATTTAGGACCAACCAGCTCAAAGTCATTTTTCAAGATCTGAATTTGAAAACAAATATGTTTTTTTAAAAAAAAATACACAGTTTTCAAAGGAGAAGGCATAAAGTTATGATTCTTTGATTCACAGTTTCCTTCTGTGGGAATTATTTGATTATGCCTTTAGTTTTTATAGTCTCTAAGACACAGTATATTTTTATCAAGTTACTCAATTTTTGAAGGCAATGTTTTAGCATCTGAACTCCAGATGTATTTGCAGATGTTGCTTTGATACCTGCCCACAAGAATACTGCTAAAAAATCCATTTTGATGCTTTAAAAGTCAATCTAACTATTTTTTTTATTTGAAGGTTACCTTTTGTTTTGATTTTCGCAGCTTTCTGTTGTTTCAGCTCGACACCCAATACATCATAGAGAGCGGTCAGCTCAATCAGGGCTAAATGGCAAACTTTCTTCATGTCCTGGGGTGCAAGGTCACCAACCTTGGTGGTGCCCGTTTTATCTTTTGGCAATCTGAAATCCTAAAATAAACACCATTAATATCGTGAAAGCTTACAGTATCTAACCATTTTTGTAATGCAGGAATAAAAAAAAATCACAACTCTATATAAAGAAGTTACACTCAGATTAAATGACAAGGAAAGCCATGATAGAATTTTCCCAGGCAGAATGCAGAGTGAGTGATCCTGTCAAAAGGGTGTGGAAGTTCCAGAATCTGACAAAGTGAATGAGATCATGTACTGGGAGGGCTCCTATCAATACTACAGATCAAGAGAGTAAGCTCAGAAGATGACTACCAGTTAGTGGTTCTTTAAGAACCAAAGATTAATCAAGCATATGCCTGTAATCCCCCAAAACTCAGGAGACTGAGGCAGGAAGATGGAATGTTTGAGGCCAGCCTGGGCAACTTAGTGAGATCCCGTCTCAAAAAAAATCAAATAAAAAGGGCTGGTGGTAGTATACTCTTGAGTTAATCCCCAGTACCACCCAACCAAAGCAAAATTGGAAGTTGGGGGTTAATCAATGGGGTGGGGGTGGAAGAGGAGGAATTACATGATATGAGGAGGATACATAGGAAGAAGAGAAATAGCAGCATGAGTGTGTGCTTAGAATGTGCCAGGTACCCTTCACATACGTTGTGTATCTTCTGTAAGTAAAAACATGGTAAGGTTGGTAAAGGCTACGGGGCGCGGGATAGCAGCTGGCATGAACTTTAAAGACAGGGCCTGCCAGTCATCCAGCTGCTTACCAGATATGCAACTTGGCAATTGCTTAATCTTTCTTTCCGCAAAATGGGAAGAGAGGGAAGAGAGAAAGGAGGAGGAGAAAAAGAAGGAAGCCACCTAATTTAAAGTGCTGTTGTGAGGTTTAAATGTCACCACTTCCCATTGACTTTTATGTGGTTGCTCTTATTAGTTATCATTATTATTTTCACAGCTGAATACACCAAAATGGAGAGGTGCCACTCGGGACCACAAGCAAGTCAGTGATATTAGCTGTTTTATGCATTTCTCAAATATCATCTAGTACTCTTACCATTAAACTCATTATATATAAGAAAACAAGCCACAAGAAAAAGAATTTCTTTAGCATATTTAATACATGCTGCAGTCTGCCCTGTTTGCTGACTAAACCAATGATCATTTTCTAGCAGTCTGATAAAAAAGTCTTTCATTAGATGACATCGTTGAGGTTTACCCTTGCCTTCTTCATTTAATTGCCAAAGATGTTCAGTTGATTCCCTTTTATTCTCTCTGCTGATTTTTGTCATTAACATCTCCTGGCCTAAATATTAATATAAGCAGCAGGTTAAAGCATGGTATCATGCAGGTCCCCAATACTCTTTTCAAGAGGTTTAGAGGTCAAACTTAATTATTATAAAAATTGACAATTTTTGAATAATATTAGTTGAATGATTAATTTTAATAATAATTAAGACACTGTCTTGCCTCTCCTGCTTTCATTTTCTCCTGAGTGCACAGAGAAATTTTCCTATGGTAAACGATGTGGACCATTGCAACAGATGATGCAGGAGGAGCTGACCTACTAAGGCCAAATATTGGAGATGTGCTAAAATTAAAATTACGCCACACTTCTCAATTTTTAGTTCTAAAAAAGCAAGGCTATTTTCCATTTTTAAAAGGGCTTTTATGTTAATGGTAGCAATTACTTTAAACAGACTGTGTGGCACTAGGGATTAAACCTGGGGGTGCTTTATCACTCAACTACAATCCAGACTTTTTTTTTTTTTTTTTTTTTTTTTGAGACAGTGTCTTGCTAAGTTACCAAGACCAGTCTTGAACTTGCAATCCTTTTGCCTCAGCCTCCTGAGCCACTGGGATTCCAAGTGTGTGCATGCTACTATGTCCAGCTCTAACTTATTATCATTATTATTATTATTGCTGTTGTTTTATTATTTTGTGCCACAGATTGAACTTAGGCCTCAAGTATGCTAAGCTTATAATTTACCACTAAGTTACACACCCAGCTCCTTAATTTAAGTTTGATATAAACATCCATAGGTGCAACCCACATAAACAAACCTCTTTGAGGGCCTCAATAATTTTTAACAGTGGCGAGACCACAATTTTTGAGGGTTACACTATTTCCTGAAATCTATGGCCAATGTCGTTCAAGCAAACTCAACTCTGAGAGCCTTAAAAAAAAAAAAATCCACTAAAGAGAGAAAAGGTCTCTCTCTTAGTTTTGAGTAATCTATTTTTGTCCTATGAAAATATTGAGTAAAATAAGAACAGACCTCATGGAAGATGGAGCCTAACCGAATTCCCAGCACTGATGTGGAAGGCCTCCATAGTGTTGGGCACAGTGGGTGAGTATGTGGAGCTGGGCACAGGGGGCAAATCTGTCTCCATCGCTTACTAGCTATGTGACCTCGGGCAAATACCACCACTTCTGCGCCTCAGCCTCTTTACCTACAAGATGGAATAATGCCACGTTCCACCATATAAAGCTATGGTGAGGCACTCATGGCATATAACAAGCACTCAAAAAGGGTTAAGTATTACCACTGTATTTCTTCATAGAACTTTTTAAATAATGTCAACGTTTCATGATTTTCCATTAAGAAAAAAATGACAAGATTCATATTTACTTTTTACTACATTCTGCCAAAGTCTCAAAAGGGTAAGAATGACTATGGTGGTGTTGTAGGTATGGAAAATGAGGCTTGGTGGAAAGGGTTAAATGTGGCCACACGGTCAGTGACAAAATTACAGATGCAAATTCAGATCTCCTCAATCCCAAATTCATTAAATCCAGTCCTCCCAGCCCCATTCACCTGGCAGGCAGAGGGCAGAAAGCAGCAGGCAGGAGGAAATCTAAGTTGGCAGGTGTTGATGTAGGACTGGAAGCCCCCCCAAGGACAGGAGGCTACATCTTAATCACCTCTCGTAACCCTGTTGTATGGTAGACCTGGCACATTTCAGGAGCCCTGCCACTGGTCTAACAAATGAAGACACTCACACTACAGAAAGAAAAGCATATACTCAAACACCACACCAATGTTTTGATATTCTGATTTTGCAACTTTTACTAAGCTTTACTTTTTCAATTACACAAAACTTGTCACATTTTTCTCATGCACGACCCTATATTTATGCTAATGACTTTGTTTTCTGAAGGGATGAGCCAACCATATTTACCAACCGTTTACACACTTTTAAAAAGTCCTAAATGTTTCATTAAAATCGGTTGTTTTGGGGCTAATAAGCCAAACACATGTAATGTAATTACTGAAGTACTACCCAAGGTAAATGTTTAGAGAAACCTGAAATATTATTAGTTCAAACATTTGATTTACCTAGCAATATATGTCATGAGCTTATTTATTTATTTAAACATTGTACTTAATGAAGGAGTTAGTTCTTTACCCCAATGTTTAATTCATAGCAGCTGCTTTAAATATTTATGAAGTTTCCTGTCATTTTTGTTTAGTTAATAGACTAGATGGCTGAGTTCCCTGGTTAAGAGAAGACAGTAGAATTTCAGCAACAGAAAAGTCCTCTACCTTTGAAAACTGTGCTTAAAGCAAAGAATGAAATAAAAATTTTCAAAAAATATAAGGTCCCTGGTTCCCTGTGTTTCATAAATTAGCTAGGGAGAGCTCCCTGATGCTCCCCCTCCTTTATAGGCCTTGCCATACAAGGTAGCCTGCAGGCATTTCATCAGTAATGATGAACTTGACTTCCCTACTCCTCAGTCTAGCTTCAGCTTGGAAAGGAAAGCAAGAGACAAGTGTCAAAAGCTTAGTCACCAAAGTCAAGCCTTAGCATGCCTTGTAACCTAACTGGTTTTCTCATGTGGAAAATAGGGACAATGCTTAACCTCACAAAGATCTTTTGATAGAGGAATGAAATAATTGCAGAGAATAATCCCTGATATATACTATGTAGTAGCTAAGTTGTCAAACTACAGCATCTAAAAGGTTATAAAACCTGATCTTCAAAATTTAAGAGCAGAAATCTGAATCTACTGAGAGATCATAAAGAATTAAAACAAAGCCTGCTCAGTGCTTTAAGTAAAAGGAAGTGCATATGAAATGCGGTCAACAGGGTAGTGTATTACATAAAGCCTATTGCTTATTTACAGACTCGGGAAAGCAAGGAGTAAAAAATGGAACTTAAGATTTGTTTCTGCTCAGACACCTGCTTCTGAGTAGTAATTATAAATATTCACTCCATCAACCACACTAAAGACTCGCAGAAAGTTTACAATATACCTAGGTCTTCTGGAAGGCATGCAGAATTTTAAAATATGGTTTTAGAAATGAAAAGATGCATTTAGGTAAAAACAAAGTCAGACAAATTAGTAACATCAAATGCATGCTAATGATAGTATATCAGTATATTTCAAGTAATTTATGTAACATAAGTTCATGGTCAGGAAAGACTTAACAAGAAGCATAGGTATAGAGGTAGGCTCTAAGGAACAGATGAAGGTTTCCTTGGCAAATATAGAACATAGAAAAAGAAATGTCATTCTTAAACCTGGGGCATGACATGCACAAAACCAATATAGTAAGTGAACACAAATTAGTTTGTGAAACAGAATAAAATGGTAGAGCAAGTCTTGTTTTGAAACTTTGGGCAGAGATTTTATTTTATTCCATCGTTGTAGTCAACAATATCTTCATTCTGTTTAGATTATGCTAACCTTATCATGTATTGTTACTGATGGCAGTGTTAGCAATCGCTATTCTTTGCATTAATGTGAAATAAAGGAGATGAGTCTTTAAGTGACGTTCTAAATATGTCACCTGCCATTTCCTGAGAACCACAATTGTCAGCATGAAAGATACAGATGTTATCCTGCTGTCTGAAAAGCCTTGAAAATGAGGACCAACCCAGAGACCAAATACGCCTTGAGTTCCAGTCATAGACAGGAAAATGTGTTTCTACGAAATAAAATCGGGGTTCTCGATGAAAAACACAATATTAGGTCTGGAGTACAAAAATATGCCAGATAAGCCTGGGAAACTTTATCTAGGATCACATCAAATATGTATGAATCCATGAGTTAAGATGCTATTCTTATAAAACAAACACAAATGGTAATTGATTGCTGGGGAAAAATGCTAGGGAATCAAAAAATTTTGAAAACTGGTAAATACATGGAGAAAGTAACCATTTCAAAAAAATTTTTCTTAAAAGAAACACCCAAAGTGATAAAGCAAAGACAGATGAAAATATTGGAACATCAGCATTTTCCAACCATGAATAAACTATTATTGACAGCAGCTGTTAATTTCACCAACAAAAGACAACCAGATTCTGTGCGCCTGCTGAAAACAGGTAACCACATATCTGAAGTAGTCTCAACAGAGAAGTTGAACCTTAGACCGATACGTTTAGAGTCAATTATAAAAACAATGGAAGATGTTAAATTGTACCATAGGGATAGGATTAGTCACAAGGAGAAATTCTCTATAACTTAACAACCAGGTGTCTTCAACAAATACATTTTGAGGGAAGGGGAGAGAGTAGGATGTATGAAAAGACAGAAAGAACAAAAGAGGACACAGAAAGGTGAGAGACAAAGGAAAATAGGAGAAAGAAAACAGAGGAAGGATGAGAGGAATAGAGGGACAGAGGGAGAAAGAGGAATATGGGGAAGAGAGAAATGAAGGCCTTGGTTCCTGGTCCTCAAACAAACTCTACAAAAAGATCAAATTTCAAATTGTTGGGCTGGCTCAGTGGTAGAGAGCTTGACTACCATGTGTGAGGCACTGGGTTCAGTTCTCAGCACCACATCGAAAAATAAATAAAAAGTCATTATGTTCAACCATGACTTATATTTAAATTCAAATCATCAAATTTCATGAACACCGTTCTTGAGATTTGAAATTAATAATTGTCAGTGTTTTTAACACATGGCAACATGAACATGTGTTTTAAAATGTTTAAACTTTATCAACACAAATATTGACAATATAATTCAGATATGGTTCACAAAATAACACAGAATAGACAACTAGATAAGGATATGGCTAGATCAGGATTGACCCTGGACCAATAAATGTTGGGGCTGGGAGAGGACTAGGATTCATTTTATTATTCCTTTTAATTGCATGTGTAAAATTTCAACAAATAACTACTTGTATATATGTATATATACTTATATACACACACAATCTATCTACATACATACACATAGATAGATAGATGTGGATGTGTACATATGTATTCAATAGCAAAGAGAACACTCTACACAGAGAACTGGGATTCTAAATATAATCTACTGCTAAAAGGAACCAGAGCTTTTTGAAGACATGACTACTTTCAAGTCTAAGGGGAAAAAATTACAAGGTGATCATAGAACATTTTGTCCAGAAAGTTAAGGAAACACACAAAAATCAGAAAACTGCTCTGGGCTCTTCAAAAATGTTAAAGGAAAAGAAGGGGAACTACCTCAATTCAAGAAAACCGGAAAGATGAAACAACCAACACAAAAATATCCCTTGTTCAAATTCTAATGGGTATGGAGAAAGGGAAAGCTATCAAGGATAATCTTGTAGCAACTAGAGAAATATTAATATGACTCTATTAAATATAGCTCTCTCTTCAGTGTTAAGTACTGTAGCTGTTCTGTATGTCCTTGATAATCTCAAGGCATACATAGATAAAGATACAGGAAAGGCTATATATTAATAAGGGTTGACTCTATCAATGAAGGGCAGGGTGCTGCTGATTCATGCTTTCAACTTAGCCCTGGGTTCTAAATTTTCATAAGAATCTGATAAAAATGTTTCTATTGGTAACATCTAGACACGTGCTACTTACAGGTAATGAGGCATCATTGCTTTCACTCTTCTGAGTTTTCTCCTCTTTCTGATTGACTGCTTGCTCAGCAAATGACACCTCCAGGTTGATGTCTGTTTCAGAGGCAGGTGTGTCCTCAGGCACTGGGAGCATCAGCTCTTTATCACCAAAGGGGGTAGATGCCTGGTCTGGGGGAGGGGAGAGGACCCAAATCATATACTTTGCTTTATTTTTATTTTTTTTTAACTTACAATACATTGAGTACTTAAAAATCTGAGAACATTACTATTTTCTCCCCTCAAGAATTAAATATTGGGGCTGAGGCTGTAGCTCAGCGGTACAGCGCTTGCCTGGCCCATGAGAGGTGCTGGGTTCGATCCTCAGCACCACATAAAAATAAAGGCATGTGTCCAACAACAACTAAAAAAAATTAAATATTATTTTCATGGTAAAAAGTATACTCAAGGAATCCTATCAAGGGGTCAAGGGAGACAGAAGATAGGGATAACTGGGAACTATGGTCCAATTGTGGAATATTTGAGAACATAGCTCTTAGATGGGATCAAAATACAAAATGCAGCTTGGAGATATCAAACTCTTGATGAAAAATCTCACAAACTTAATAGTTGCCATGTTATTTTATTCTAAACTGAGGAATTAAAATCAAAAGAAAGGTCAGAAGAGTTGTAATCTCTCTTAGAATTAGCATTTAATTTCATCACATTAGAAGAGATTCCTGGAATAAACCTGTTCCACACCCTGCTTTTTCTTTCTGGAATGCTACCTATCATAGTAGAAATTCCAAAATAAGAGCTAATGCCAAAAACTCACTGTGGCAGACAGTTACCTGGAGGTAACTGGTACAGGAACCAACAGGTTTTCAGCCCGATTTTATCAAAGAGCATAAAAATTCCTACAACTATCAACCCTAGCTAAATAGGTTTAATCCATTTACATCAACATTTCAAGGATATGTAGTGTAACACATTTAACTTTGCTTTGAGGTTTTGATTTTTTTGTGTGTGTTTGCCGATAACCCTCCTGGAAAGAATTCACGTTCAAAACCTCTGAGGAAAACACAAGCTTTTATTTTTGTTGCTGTTCTTTTTAGATATACATGGCAGTAGATTGTATTTGACATATTATACGTAGATGGAGTATGACTTACTCTAGTTAGGATCCCATTTTTGTGGTGGAACATGGTGTGGAGTTACACTGGAAAATTATGTTGGATTCATTCTACTCTTTCCTGTTCCTATTTCTGTTTCCTTCCCTTCATTCCCCTTTGCCTAATCCAAAGAACTCCTACTTTTCTCTTCACCCAGAAAATTCAAACTTTAAGCTTTGAAGAAAATACTTCTAAATTTGACTATTTGGTACATATTTGGTTTTAACACATCTCACATTAGAAAAACCCAGGCACCAATGATGGATTGTTGACATTATCTTTGAAGAGGTTTGAATCATGATAAGAAGCTCTGAATTAAAAAATAACTTACATAGTTCATTTATAAGCTCTATACTAACATCCTCATATAGTGGCAGAACAAACTGATGGAAGACAAACTTAAAAAGATGAAAATGCATGCCATATATACATACTGGTATTAAAAATCTACTGCTAATAAAAAACATTGCATTTATAGTCATTTTGAAAACAACCTGTTTTAATCAAAATGAAATTAAGAAATAAATGCAAATCTAGTCTTATTCACTCCCATTATATAAGCAGAGTGGGCTCCTGTGCAGTCATGAGGGGATCCCAACTCAGAAAGGTTCTACCCATGGCTTAATACTCATTGTTACCACCTTGGAATCTGAATAAGCCACCTACATTTTCTGTTTGCATTGGTCCAACTGGCCCAGAGGCATCTCACAGTTAAAAAAAATAAGCATTTATCTGTGTTGATTCCAAAAATAAGAATGAATTTAAAGCTAATTAATATTATTGGTGACATCTGCTACCATCTTTGTTTTTCCAGCCTGCCTGCAATAACTTTTTAAAAATTAAAATATTTGTAAGTTTTTATGGTTTCTAAAAATAGTAACAAATGCCAAAGCCCAATTCTATTTTCCCATTGGTTTATTTGGCTTTATGTGTTACTGTGAATATGTATATTGATTTCCTAGGAAACCATTCTAAGAAAAAAAAAATGATTAGCTATTTTCTTAAATTAGAAACTCCCTTTCAGCAGCTGAATGTTTGTGAACAAAAATTTTAAAACTACACTTCTCAACACAATACACCCAATACAAATGGACTGTGTTAAACTCAAAAATAGGTAATTCTACTTAAATTAGAACACATTTAAAATATATGAATCTCCTCTAGAAACAAGGCAAAAATAAAGTATATTAAAGACTCAGTTTTAATGGTAAGTTAAGGGAGACCTTCAGGAAAATAATTATGGTGGCAATAACATCAATAATTATAGGGACACTGTTACAGGAAATGGGTGGTTAATTGGATAAGAAAAGTGATAAATCTATTCTCAAAAGAGAAAATCTAAAAGAGAATATTGAAGTAGACCTTTTGGCACTCTAAAGTTCTCAAATGTAAAAAACAAAATTTCTTTAATTTATCTTCCCCGAGTTTTGAAAAGGACAATAGCACTAGGTTACAAATATTTTGCAAATCTCCCCAAAGTGTTTTAATTGTTCAAAATATTCAGAAATATCTTATTTTAAAAAAGACTCTTCTTCCATGGAAATTTAAAAAAAAAGAAGAAAGTATACATAATAATATGAAAGTGTTTTAAAAATTAGAAATGGAATTCCCAAATAAACAATCACTGCCCTTTCATAGAGTTGTCCGGTTTGGTTAAAAGTTTAGGTGAATACTTAGTGATGGATTGATTTGAAATGTGAAAAACCTTGCAATCTTCATATTGACAACTTTTTAATTTGCAATAAGTATCAAATTGAACATGTCTGAAAACCCAAGTGTAGGGAGAATACTTAAAATAGACTATGTCACCCATGCCTTTAGATCTTAACCAGAAATAGCCCTACTTTGCAACCCCAGCCACAATTTCCATGCATATCATTCTGAACTTTCTGCTGTTTACACAACACTCCTGGCTCCCTGGCTAGTGCCCAGAATAGGTGTGGTGATCACCGCTTGGTGCCATGGACAGGGGTGCACAGGTTCTGCTATTCTTATTGGACACTCAATGCCCACTGCTTAGCATTCCAACGAAAGCACATGTAAAACAGGCAGCATGACTGAGTCCTGTTCCCCTTGCCTGCTGCCGTTTAGGCTGGAAAGTGCTTATATAACAAACTTGTCTTCCAGAACTTTTGTTGATATAGCCTACATTATGATCTCTGACAATGGAGAAAAACAAAAAGCAAGGACAATATTGTCCTCAGTATCTGTTAAACAACTGCCAGTCACTCTTCCCCAAGGCCCAAAGCACAATGACACTGGCACAAAGGTTTGTCTGTCTCTCCAGAAGACTCGGCTTTCCTGCAAGCCAGAGATGGCTATGCTGGCTGGCTTGTCATTTTGGTGTTTGCTGGTACACATACTAGAGGAAACACTAGGAATTTCATTCTGAAATAACACATAGCACTACCAAAAAAACAACAACAACAACAAAAAAAAAAAAATCACAGAATAGCGAAAAAAAGCAAGTGCATCCCCTCCCCACCCCCAGTACAGGGGATTGAACTCAGTGGTGCTTTACCATTGAGCCATACCCTAGCACTTTGTACAATTTTATTCTGAAACATGGTGTCCCTAAATTTCCAAGACTGGCCTAGAACTTGGAGTCTTCTTTCTTCAGCATTCCATGTAGTTGGGATTACAGGCATATGCCACCATACCTGATGGAGCATGGATTTTATAGCTACAAATATGTGTGTGTGTGTGTGTGTGTGTGTGTGTGTGTACACAGACCTACACACCAGCACATGTGTGCATTTTTTTAAGGTAGGGGTGCAGGAGAAAAAGTTTTGAAAAAAAACATGAAAGAAAATGATGCTGGATGCTCACTGTAAAATGTCTCATACAATGTAAGCCTAATGCATGATTTTTGATACCTGGTCTCACTGAGGCCTGCCTCAAAATTGCAATAATCCTGCTTCAGCCTCCTGAGTAGCTAGGATGACAGCATGTGCCACCATGCCTGGCCTAATGCAGGATTTTTGTGGGAATATTAGGAACACTTCCTAGTACTAATACCTGATACCCAGTCAACATCTCCAACAACTATTAACTGCAACACTATTAACAGTGTGAATGTCCCAGATGCTAAGACTGGAGAAAATGAAGTTTACCTTTGTGATAACAATTAAGAACTATATTTTTAAGCTTAAACCTATGACCTTAATTTAGAACACATTTCTTTTTTTGTAAACAAATGAAATAACTATGTTTTCTCTTGATAAATTCTAACGAAGCCTTAATATTTATTTTTTCCATGCTTTGAACTTTCAACTCATCTGAATATCCAAAGAGAAAAGGTATAAAAAAGAGAATTATAATCAATTACTCAATCAACTAATATTTTTAAGTTTCTGTAAATTTTCTGAAAATTAAACCATTTGAGAACAAATTTATTGGTTCTGACTTTCTAACTGTATGGCCTTGAGAAAGGCAATTCACAACTCTAAACTCATTTTTCATTTGAGAAAACAGAGCTTAAGAGCAGTGCCTACCACCAAGTTCTTGCTCTCTTGTTGTTCTTTGTTTTTGTTGTTTTTGGAAGGTACTAGGGAGTGAATCCAGGGTATTCTACACTGAACTACATCTTTAGCTCCTTTACTAATTTTATTTTGACAAGGAGTCTCTTTGAGCTGTGGAGTCTGTCCTCAAACTTGCAATGCTCCTGCCTCAGCCTCCAGAGCAGCTGGGATTACAGACATGCACCAAGGTACCTGGCCACAGAGTTCTTGAGTATATTAAATGAGGTAAACATCTCTGCACATGCTAACTGTTCAGGAACATAAATATATGAATGTAGAATCAGATTGGGATATACGTTCAAAAAAAAAATACAGCCAACTATATGCTCAACTTCATATAATTATCAACCTGGAACCTAATACTAGTAATAGAATTTGCTTACTAGAATTGAAGGCAAATGTTTTAAAAGGTTGTAACTGTTTATTATCCCAATTAAAAGGAAAAAAAAAACAAGAGAACAGGTCCAACATACCATCTTTTCCTTGGTATTTGTTTTCATTTGTTCTGACTGACTGCGATTCAGTACCATCTGGAGCCTAAACATAGAAAACGAGCCATTTAGTCATCTCCAATTCACAACCAGAGAAAATGGGATTGTAAATAATTCTGCTACTAACCTTTAGAATGCAAGAAATGTGCACAGACTTATAACAGTCACCATGGTGGGGGGAACACTATGGTTATGATCAATAGGCAATCTTCCAATAAATACATGATTTCCCCCCAATTGTAGGCTGCAATAGTAAGTCTTCTGGGGAATATGGAAAGTGTCAAGGATCCCTGCTGTCAAATCATCACTATCTAGTTGGATATCCACTATCCAGACAAACCTGCTAATAATATCTATCAAGTGATGAGTAGAGAAACAAATGTAGCCTATACATACAGGGGAATAATATTTGGCAATGAAAAGAATGAAGTATTGATGCACATTTCAACGTGGATGAACCTTAAAAACCTTTTGCTAATTGAAAGGAACCAGTCACAAAAGCCCATATATTTTATGATCCCATTTGTGTGCAATGTCCAGAATGAACAAACCAGAGAGATGGAAAGTAGACAAGTACTTGCCCAAGATAGGGAAGGGGACATGAAGAATGAGTGCTAGTGGGCATGAACTTTTTTTTTTTTAAAGAGATGATGAAAATGTAATACAGTCAATTGTGGTGATGGTAGAAAAAAATCTGTGAATATACTAAAAATCATTGAATTGTACACTTTAATTGGGTGAATTATATGACAGGTGAATTATCTCTCCGTAATGCAAAAAAAAAAAAAAAAATAGAAGTAAAATAGAAAAAATTTTTTAAAGTAACAAATGTGAGATAAATTAAAATCAGGTTACCAAGTCGGCAAAAAGAGCTAAAATGGAACTCTTTTCTGTCCAGGGGTTGGTGCTGTGACCCCTGAGTAATTGAGCCCTCCAAAGCTGATGGACAAGGTCAATCGGGGTTGGTCTGCTCACCAGTCAGGGTGGTCAACAGTACTTCTTCCTTTCCAGGTAAACTGAGAAGGATCTCAGAGATGAGGAAGGGAAATCTGGATCAACCATACAAAAGGGCCTGTTTGAATGAAGTATTTTTAAAATGATCCTTCTATTGGATTGTATCTCTATAGTAGCCATAGTAGTCCCCGCACCACAATGTTTCACCTCAAGTTATCACAGCAACAGAGGACTCCCCCTCCACATGCCTTAAAAAAAATAATAGAAATACCAGGGCAGGTACATATATGCCATTGGTATATTACTAAGAGACCTGAACATCCAGGACAGAGATGGTGCCTCCCAGGTCACATGGGCACATGGCACCACATTAGTTAGCTGTAGGACAGGGCAATAGCATTCTCTTTCCCTCAACTCCTGAGCCAGCAGAGGGCAGGCCCTCCATGACCGTGAACATAACAAGTGATTCTAATCTTGCACGTGAATGCATATTTTGGAATATGTGGTTGGAATTGTTTTCCTCAACAATTGAAGATGGCAGTACAGATGGAATTCATTTCTATATTATATTTCCTAGTGTCAGCAAGGGCTTCATGAGAAAGCATTTAAACTGGAAGAGCTGAATATGCACTGACTGAAGAAGAGAAGAACTGCAAGTGGAGACAGCTGGTCCGTGTTTGCTGGAGGGATGCAGAGCACATTTCTAATGGGTTGTGGTGTTCAATTAAAGGGATGCCTTGTAAGCGGGTATATATTATTTCAATTTGCTTGTAATATTTCTCTCCTAATGAGTCCATCAGATGATACAATCCACCAATTACCTTGCATTCAAAACCATGTGGTTTAGACATTACCAGGAATTTGCTGAAAAATGCTGCTTCTAAAATCAAGTAGCAACGTCCTCTTGGAGACTGGCAGGAATCCCACAGTATGTATTTTGCTTAGGTTCAGCTCTCGGCTCCCTCTCCCTTTTCACTTCCTCTTAGTTCCCTTAGGAGGGTCCTTTGATTGGGAAGGAAATTTCATAATACTATATTTCCTTGCCATTCGTTATTCTACAGCTCGAAACCAAGTCCAGTCCTTAAGTACTAGTGGATGTCCCAAATCACCACTGGCTGGTAAAAGGTGCTTAACACACATAAAGTGCCTGGGGCATTCAAATGACCCCAGAATTCCTGTAAATGACCGGTTTTGATCCATAATTGACCATGCAAATAGAGTAGCAATCTGTAGCTAGAAAGGATTTCTTGGAAGAATGAAAACAAAACAAAAAAATTTACATGCCAGAAAGATACCTTAAACATGAACCCTTCCACTCCATTTGTTATGGAAAAAAATATATAATAAAAGTTTTCCAGGCATGGTCGTGCATGCCTGTAATCCCAACCACTAGGGACACTGAGGCAGGAGGATCACAAGTTTAAAGCCAGCCTCAGCAACTTAGCAAGGCCCTAAGCAACTTAGCAAGATCCTGTCTCAAAATAAAATAGAAAACCAGCTGGGGATATGGCCCAATGGCTAAGGAGTCTTGGGTTCAATCCCCAGCACAAAAAACAATCACAAAATTTTCATTACCCCTCATTTATAGTATAAATAGAATCTTATATTCAGAATGCTTAATATCAGAATCATGTCTGCAAATGAAAGTTTAGCAGAACAGAGAATGGTTAAAAGCATGTACTTCAGAGTCAGACAAATTTGGATTTAGTATGTATAGGCCATTGAGCAGGTCACTTAAAGTCTATGAGCCTCTGCCATAGAATGGAAATGATAATACTTCACAGACAGCTGTAAGGATTAAATGAGATAAAGCAGGTAGAGCAATTAGCACAGTTCAACCATGGTGGCAGCAACTGTTATTGTTACTGTTATCATTACAGTCCTTGTTCCAGAATCCTTTTGTATCCCCCACCAACCACTTTACTATGTCTCCTAGGCTATTGGGGCCAGAATGTAAATCTACCATGACCCAGGAACACCATTGAGTTCAGTAGACTTTTTTTTTGGGGGGGGGGTAGTGAGACTTTCCTGATAAAAGAGAGAATAGTAATTTACATTCTATGCTAGCTCCTGGCTTCTTTCTGGATGAATAATAAGGAACCTGCCAACTAGCTACATTGTCTATACTGTTCTGGGTCACACAGGTCTGGTCCTTTTACTATACATACCTTCTCTCATGTTTCTTCATTCATCACCTCCCCAGTCACTACCAGACTTCAACATCTTCCATCAAAAATTTCCCATGTGCTAGGTTTGGGGCTAAGTGCTAGCTATAAAAGGGGTATCGTTTCACATCTCAGGATCCCTACTTTGTAATTCAGCTGCCATTAGGTCCCTCATATCTCACCTCTGTCCATCCCTAAGTGAGTCTGAAAACACAAGTTTTCCTGCAGGCACTAACAGATAAGACAGACTCCTCCACCTCCCGTTTTTCTATTGGCAAAGACTAAAGGTCCGTTTGCCCAGGAAGCCTGTCCAGTCACTTCTTGTGGCACTGTAGGTACATCTAGTGCTCCAAGGACATCATCTCCCCCAAGAGGATTATCACACTGAATTTTAGTTTGCTTAGCTTTTTACGCCGTCGGTGTAACTTCTAGAAGGCAGAGTACAGGCACTTTTGTTCACTTCCTGGATGGAGCTTTGGTGCCTGGTTTACAAGAAGTGCTCATTAAGTCTGTAGGCTTTGAATTAAACTAGACTGATCCAAGTGAGACCAAGCACATAATCTTTTCACTTAATATCAGAAAAAGAAAACTTACTTTTTCCTTTGACTCTCTCTGTTGAGTAAATATGTCTCTGACGTCAGGAATATGGTACTGTTTGTTTTTCTTCCTCAAAGTTTGGGAGACCGTCTCTACCCGTTTTTGAACAGCTGCTGCCTGGGTCCGGGTCAGTGTGGATAAAAACACCATGCTCTCTTGGGGGTCCTCAGCAGAGTCTCCAAACAGGTTAGACAGACCAGCCTCTTTGAGCCACTCTTCTTCCAATTCTCCCTCTAAGACAGTGGGGGAAACCAGGTGTTATATCACAATTTATAAGAAATTCCACATTTTTTAAGCTGCTAAAAATTCCTGCTGAAACTCTTCTATTGTAACCCAACTGCAGTGCTAAGATTCATTAGCTGAAACTTGGACAACTGCCATCCACTCTGGCCACAGCGATATCAAATTTTAGGTCGATTTCCTATATACTCAATTAAAAAAATTTTAATGACTTCACATGTAATTAACCTCTACAACTTCCCTGCAGATGAACTAGAGAGAATGATACTGTTCCCCTTCCAGAGATGAGTAAGCAAGAAAAAGATAACTTACTTCCATCAAATTACAGAGGGAAGTCAGTGCTGGGGATATACATTCAAGCCTGGTTTCTTGGCTGAGATTCAGCATATCATGGACACCAATGCTAATTTATGTAATGGCTTGCTTTTTTTTCTGTTCACTGTAGCTGACAAGGGAATGTGGCAAAATAGTGCAAAGCATCTGAACATTGGGAACTATTCGATTTCAAATTAATGTTTCTAATCCCAAGTCAGCACATCAGATTAGGTTGCGTTTTATAATTTTTCAAAAAAAAAAAGACAATATTTTTAACAAAGAAGAATTTATATAAGAAACTAATAACCGAATCAATTCAAAATACCAAAAGCAGGAAGTAAACTAAATTCTATCGGCCCTTCACATCTGCAGACACTGTATCTGATGATTCAATCTACCTCATGTTGAAAATATTTTATAAACATTCCATCTGCACTGAACTTGCACACACACTTTTCTTGTCATTATTCCCTGAACAATAGAGTATTAACAATTATTTATATTGCATTTACATTGTGTTATGTACTATAAGTAGTCTAGAAATGACTTCAAACATATAGGAGGATACACATAGGTTATAAGCCAATGCTAATAATCATCTTAGGTAAGGGACTTGGCATTTGTGGAGTTTGGTGTTCAGAGATTCCATATCTGTAACCAATCCTCCATAGATACTAAGGGATGACTTTATTGTTGACAATCTAATACAGATAAACAAAAGGACTTTATGGTACAGTGGCACACCCCTGTAATCCCAGGATTATGCAGGAGGCTGAGACAGGAGGATTCCAAGTTCTAGCCAGCCTCAGCAACTTTTGTCATCTGTGAAATAAATGACAGCCATCTCAGCCACCTCATAACCAAATGAGGAACACTGCAAAGCACTATTGTATTGTAGCCTGTATCACCCGAGAGCACTGATGGCACTGTCTATCCTTCTATGCTACATACACTCTTTGAGGGCAGAAATCAAGTATTCATTACCCTGACTTCAAGAAACATAATGAAGTGCAAGGCACTGTGTCTGTTCCACATTGAAAACTATTTAATGCCATAAAGTCAACCATTATTACTAATTCTGTTCTGGTAAAATTTGTCATAGATGTATAAAACCAAATTGCTAGGGAAAAAACAGACATTGCCGTGACAAGGAAACCATGATTAATATACAATATAATGTATTCCATTAAGAAGCAGAGATAGACAGGGCATAGTGGCACACACCTGTAATCCCAGTAACTCAGGAGGCTGAGGCAGGGGGATCACAAGTTTGAGGCCAACCTTGGCAACTTAACAAAACCCTTGTCCCCTCCCACAAAAAAATACAAAGGGTCTGGGAGTTAGGGGATATAGCTCAGTGCCCCTGCATTTAATCCTCAGTACTTAAAAAAGGGGGGGGGGTGCGAGGGGGTAAAACTCAAACAATTTAAAGTCCAAAGAGGAGTATGAACATGTAGAACCATCCCCAATCTTCCTTTATTGTTTTGATAGTAAGGATTGAACCCTTGAACCCAGGATGCTTTACTACTGTGCTGTATCCCACAGAGTTTTGCTAAAGTTGTGGAGTGTCTCACTGAATTGCTGAGGCTGGCCTCTTACAATCTCTTGCCTCAGCCTCCTGAGTTGCTGGGATCACAGCCATGTTCCAATTTTCTTGGAACAAATGACAAGATCATGTATGAATCAAATTTAACTTTGGAGAACTATGAAACAACTGATGATACTTGTGGATCTGGCCTCAATACCATTTTCTCTAGCATATTTCCTCCTCATTCAATAAACCACCTGTGTGCTGCTTCCGTATTGAATTATTGAGACAGAAAGGCTGAGGAACAATATTAATTGTCACAAAGAGGTCTGGCTTTATTGGTAATATATTCGGGAAAGAGAAAAAAATAAATGAGAAACCAAAGAGTGAGTTGCTTATAGTTTTCTTTTACAAATTAAGAAATATTAAAAATTTTTTAAAAGCCCCAATTTAAAAAAAAAATGTCAGATTTTCTAAGAAATGTTGCAGCAAGGAAGAAAAATCTTATATAGACTTTTCTGTGCAACTTAATCCCAAGTCACTTAGTTAGAAGGAAATCTTTCATTAGTGAATGAAGAGGCACTGACTGGCTTTTACCTTTTTGATATATCAATTGATACACCAAAATACATTACAAATTTAGGGATTACATAGAAAGAAAGCTAATACAATAAATAGAAGCCAAAATTGGGTATCAAAAACTTGTTGACTGCTTAAATTTAAGAGGTTAAAGAAATGGTGTGAAATTGAAGGAAAAAAATAAGTATTACATGTTTCTCCCAGAAATATCAAGTTCATTAGTGAAGAGTGTGGAAAATCTGGCTGGGAAGAGACTTGAGAAAAATTACAGGCCAACAAAAGAAATAAGCAACTATGGGAAGATAAAAATGGGGAAGCCATCTTCCACTGTCTAAATCTGTATCCGCAGACTAGCAGGCTAAGCCTGTGGCACTGCATCCAGTCGGTCATGCTGTACTTTGGATAACAAAAATGACCAAAATTATAGGTCTGAAAAAAATCACTTAAGGGTTCTTTTCATAAAATTTCCTTGCAAAAGCTACATGGCTAGAAACAAGGTAAGTGTCCTCAAATATATGACAGGCTACTATGTAAAAATAGAATGAATGTGTTCTGTTCTTCCGAAAGGCAGAAAAAAAATACAGCAGTATAAGTTAGAAGAGAGCAGGCTATAAATCAGTAAAATAAAGATGAAAACAAATCATGCATACTAACAACTGGAAAAACAGTAACACTGCAAAGTCACAAGCTTTTCATCACCATCTACACTTCCTAGAGACTAAAGGACCATGAAGCTGGAATATTACAGAAAGAACTCAGTTTAAAAAAAAAAAAAAAAATTAAACCTAACCCTAAAAGTCTATATGCCACAGTCAGTTCAGCCACCAAGAACCCAGCCATAGCAACAATTAAGTGAATTTGCTCATGCCACTTGTATCTAGCAGCTACACCCATAAACCTGCTACAAACAAGTAATTATCAAGTTGAAAGACAACTAACAATTTCATTTTCTGGTTGTTCTACTCTGCCTTTCCACACATGGATTTTCTATGAATAACCAATAAGAATTTTATTTGTTACCATCAGGTTCTTTGACAACCACCACCTCTTGATTGTCTTGTCTGTTTTCACGAGATCTCTTGATATTTTCCAGTTCTATCCAATAGTCCTCCATAGATAGTTCGTCCAAGGAATCCTGGGAACTTGATCGATCAAATGGAGGCTTCTCCGTAATTTTAGTGGTGGTGTCCTGGTTCATGGTATACTGGCCACATCTCCGACTATAAGTTAAAAAAAAAAAAAACATGGTTCCTTTTAGTAAATGAGGGAATATTACAATTTTCAAAATATCATAGTGCTGAGCTGGAAAATTTGAAAACTTCTTAAGTTTTCCTTTATAAAGCAAAGGAGATAACATATTTTGAAACTGTTTACCTTTGGCTGCTATTGATTATAATATGCTCCCAGAATGAAGAGTTTTACACTTTCCAAAACAGTACTATGAGGGACAAAGAGCAGCAGGGTGAATTACCTGCCCTTTTTACATTATTACTTAAATTATCTTAAGACTCACTGCAGTTTAAAACTTTGTTTTTTTAAAAAAAGGATGAATTTTGATTGCAGGCTATAAATAAATAAAATTGGAAATTTTATGTGCTATTTATCACTTACATTTATAAAACAGTCAGCTCTTACATAGCAAATATATGCAACCAATGAATAAAGTACTATTTAAATTTCCATTTTATTTTTGGAACAAATATAAATAGGGTGATATATTAGTTTGCTGTTATACTCTACTGCAGAAAGCAACTTTAAATCTTTGCTGTAAGTGTACCCATGACATACACATATTAATAATTTTAAAATGTGTTTAAAAACTCTTTAATTAGCAATTCTGAAGAGTTTGGAATTATCCTGAGCATTGATTTTTTAGATACAATCCATAAATAAAAGGATAAATTGAATGAGAGCATTCTCATGACTTCAAGTGAACTGTATTCTTCCTTTATAATTCAATCAGAAACACATGAGAGGTGAATTAAAGGACCTTATATGATAGAAATTTGAAATTTTTGATTATTTAAATATAGAGAAAATAGCACCTAATTACCTAAAAGAGGAAAATTTTCAGCTATGGTATCTTCCTTTATATTCGATATTTTTCTTTTAAAAGTACAATATGAATAGGGATAGGTTGTGAAAAAATGTTTTTTTAAGATTTTAATTTCAAATTGCCCTTTTATTTCCCAAGGAATTTTAGGAAGTAATACTTGTTAGATTGATTTTACCTCTTGTATATATTGAAAGTCAAAAGAAATAAATATAAAATTATTTAATAATGTGTGAACATTCTTAAATTTCAACTGGCCTTTCCCACAATTATTTAAAATAGTAGGACTTTAACACCACGTGAGGTAGAATGTCACTGAATTCTGGGTTAACCTATCTAGATGTTTAATTCCAACTCGTTTGTTAGAAAAAGTTAAAGACCTTAATTGTCTATTGCTACAAATAAATGCAGCACAACTCGGTAGTTAGCAGTACCAAGCTCATAGGTCAGTTTTATTAATAACCTTAAAGATGGATCTTTATGCCTTAAGTACTTTATAAATGCAGATTTCATGAATGAATACTCACTATAATCACTCCCTGGTAGCAATCTTGGATGGTGATGGGTGAACATCAGGACTAGGGCCAACAAGAATAAGTCTGGACAAGTTTGTGAATTTCTTTCCTCAGTTCTCTATTGTCCATTGTTTGCCTCTTCCATCCCTTAATTCAAGGGGTACTTCCTCCCTCCCTGGCCCCCAGCATCCTGTTTACATCATTGTAACCCATCCTGGTCCCCAGGCCTGGCCCAATGGTCACTGTATCATTTTATTTTATTTTATTTTATTTTGGTACTAGGGAGTGAATCCAGGGGCACTTAACCAGTGAGCCACACCCCCAGCACTTCTTGTGTTTTATTTAGAGACAGGGTCTCACTGAGTTACTTAGGGCCTCTCTAAGTTGCTGAGACTGGCTTTGAACTTACAATCCTCTGCCTCAGCCTCCCCAGCTATTGGGATTACAGGCATGGGCCACCACCCCCAGCATGACTAATACTTTTATTACAGGGTTTTCAATCCTGAATCAAGTTAAAATGTGAATAAGAAAGTTACTCTCTCTTAAAAATGACTTGTTTTTCCCCCCAGTATCAGCAGCTCAATTTATCTGTGGTTCATAGTCCTTAATCCTGCCTTACCAGGATAACTACAGCTAATTTGTAGAATGCCTGTCAAATTCATTTTTTTTTCTGTTTTGTCAAATATACATGCCCTGTCCTTGTTTTTATTTTATCTCACATGATAATGCAATACTGGCTACCTTATTCCTATTCCCTACTTGTACCCACTGCAGCTCCCACAAGAGACCACAATAAGTATTGTGAACTATGTGAAATATAATGACTAATGCCAAATAATTTGGTTTATCTGCTCACAGGAAAAAGGTACAGTTGAGCTAGAAGTACATTAAGCTTTTCATTGCTGAAGGAATGTGTTTATTCTGGCAAGAATTTTCCAGTAAATTTCCATTAAGATAGCAATATGCAGAAAAATGAAGGAACACTGAGTAACAGCATTGTTACATAATATACCTTCTCTATGGACTCTGCTTTCAAAACATGCATAAAGCAAAAGTCTTGCAGCTCAGTACTGATGAATTGACTCAGTATTTTGACTTTAGATTCAGAAGCCAAATAGGTGTGTAATAACCTGAAAATACTGAGTCATAGATTTTTTTTTCTTCTTTCCATCTCCCCCATTTGCATCCCTGGTAAATATTCCAGGGCCACATTTTCAATTTTATATATTAGGAGATGAAAAGTATTCAGGAATGGGATTACTCTCCTTGCTCAACCTAACATGTATTTTTAAATTACTCTCAAAATGCAAGTGAATATTCTTTCAATTTACATCAATTAACATTCAGAACCACTTTTTCTCTTCTTAGAATATACTTTTGGTACTACAGCAGTGGCTTAAAGTCTGGACCCTTCTTACTGTCCTGGTAAGTGGCCAATTAACTGATTTCCTCTTTTTGGTTTTTTTTTTTTAAGAGTATGCTATTTGATACCATGCTCATTCTGAAAATTGGGTTCAAAAACATAAAGCAACATCTGCTAGATGTAATGAAGTGCAGAGCAGAAGTATTTTATATTTCCAAAAGATCCAAGCCAACATATAGTGCTGAAATCAAAGAAGCATAGTTTATACCACAGACAACTACAAATTACCCACCTGACCTGCTGGCAAGCGACTGTTCCAAGATCCTTCCCACCCCCTCCCTAATCCTGTACACTGACTGTCCCATGGCCATGCTTCAAGAACCTGTGCATTTCCTGCCTTCTGCAACTACAATGACAGAACTGGATGTGTCTTCTGAAAGAGGCTGCCATGTTGCTCTACTAAGAGCTGCTTCCAGACTGCCTGTGTGAGTCACTCTTTTCCCAACACACCGTTACTCTGCCTTTTTTGTGGGCAGCTTCCTGGAATGGTTTGTTTTCAACTTGCCAGCATGTCCTGCATGACATGTTTATTTTTAAAAATTAAGGCTCTGTTTTATTGTGGTTTTGTTTGTGGGGGGGAGGTTTGCATTACTGGGGATTGAACCCAGGGATGCTCTACCACTGAGTTACATCCCTAACCCTTTCTAGTTTCAATTTTGAGACAGGGTCTTGCTAAGTTGCTGAGGCTGCCCTCAAACTTGCATCCTCTGGCCTCAGCCTCTTCAGTCACTGCGATTACAGGCAGGCACGATCATGCCCAACTTGTTTTGTTGTATTTTCCCCCAGGCATAGGTTATATCATTTTCCTAAGATAATTTTTTCTAGCTGGTCAAGAATTTCAAAGGTACTGATATCATGGTGTTTATTTTTATGGAGAATATGAAACTGGTCTGACATCATTTGTCCTCTACAAGGAGGTGGGGTAGCTATCTCTTACAACATGGTCTATTGGAAGATCACAATCTGGCTGATGATTCATGCTGATACCTGATGTAGTCAGTAAAGAAATGGAAAAATATGAAACCAGGAGACCTAAGAACCAAATGATTCCAGCTCTGTTTGACCATTTCTATAACCTATGGTAGTTCACAACTTCTCCACTCCCCAATTTTCTTTGAAATGGGAAGAGTAACAATAGCCTTGAGGGCTGGAGGCCAAGCAGGAGGCCCTAGGTTCAATTTCCAACACAGGTGAGCATGCAAATATATATCCTCAATTCCAACTGACTTACCCTGAGAAGGTCATGAAGGATAGTATCTCCGCTAACCCAAATACCACTGCTGATCCCAGAGTTTTGTTGTTTTTGTTTGGGATGGGTTATTTGGGGGGGCGGAGGTGGCAGGGGGGATGCATACCAGTCCTTGAACCCAGGGCCTCATACATGGTAAGCACACACTCAGTCACTAAGCTACATCTATAGCCTATAATGTCCCCCGAGACACACACACACACACAGTGTATTGAGGTCACCTTTGCCCTCTTCTAAGATTCAGAGAGATCATTTATCCTCTAGGACTGTTCTTGGACTTTTTGATCTCAGAATTCCTTTATACACTCAAAACTTTTCAAGAACCTTCCAAGAGCTTTTGTTTATAGGCATGTCTATTGATGTTTACAGCATTAGATTATAAAACTGAAAAAAAACATTTCAATACTATTGGTTTGATAACATCTTAACGTTAATTTTCCAAAAAAAAAAAAAAACCCAGCTGTTATGATTTAGATGTGGTGTCCCCCAAAAGCTCATATGTGAGACAATGCAAGAAGGTTCCAAGGAGAAATGAATGGGTTGTAAGAGTCTTAACCCAATCAGTGAATTAATCCCCCGATAGGGATTAACTGAGTGGTAACTAAAGTAGTAAGTGGTAGGGTGTGGGTGGAAGAGATAGAAATTGGGGTGTGGCTTTGGGGTATATATTTGTATCTGGCCAGTGGTGTCTCTCTGCTTCCTGATTATCATGTGAGCTGCTCTCTGCCAAACACTTCTGCCACGATGTCCCATGTCACCTCAAGCCCCAAGGAATGGATTCTGCTGTCTATGGATTGAGACCTCTGAAACCATAAGCCCCTAAATACACTTTTCCTCTTCTACAGTTGTTCTGGTTGGGTCCTTTTAGTCGCAGTGGTGAAAAAAGCTGACAAAAACACTGTATTTTCCAAACAAAACATAGATGAATATCATTGCTTTAAATTTTGAAACTGTCTTTAAGGTCCAGCTTAATAGAAGGC